AAAGACCGATACGAGTGCGACCGATGCTCTGGATCTGATGGTCAGGAAGGGCTTTCGTCATCTTCCAGTCATGGACGAGAACCACGACATTTCGGGTATCTTGGATATTACCAAATGTTTCTACGACGCCATGGAGAAGTTGGAGCGCGCCTACAGCTCTTCGCGCAAGTTGTACGATGCTCTAGAGGGTGTCCAGGCCGAGATGGGCTCCAGCCAGCCGCAACAGATCATCCAGTACGTCGAGGCTATTCGTCAGAAGATGTCTGGGCCTACGCTCGAGTCTGTTTTGACGGGACTCCCGCCCACCACTGTTTCTGTGCGCACCTCCGTCAAGGAAGCTGCGTCACTGATGAAGGAGAACCATACCACTGCCGTCCTGGTACAGGACAACGGATCCATCACCGGTATCTTCACCAGCAAGGATGTCGTCCTCCGCGTTATTGCCGCAGGGCTCGACCCCATGACTTGCAGTGTTGTACGAGTAATGACACCTCATCCTGACTTTGCGCCCATGGACATGAGCATCCAGTCTGCTCTCCGCAAGATGCATGGTAAGTATTCCAAATGCTGAGTGAGCTGAATAATTGCTAACGTTCTGCAGATGGGCATTATCTCAACCTGCCCGTGATGAGCGACGCCGGAGAAATCGTTGGTATGGTCGATGTTCTCAAACTGACCTATGCTACTCTCGATCAGGTATGTCGGGCTGTTCAGTGAAAAAGTATTTGTGCTGACTCTTCCAAGATCAACAACATCAGCACAACGGACAGTGAAGGCCCCGCGTGGAATAAGTTCTGGCTGTCTCTGGACAACGAGACTGAGTCGATGATGTCAGGCGAGGGTGGAAGCCGTGTCCATGACCACCGCTCGTACCTCTCACACAACGACCGCCCTGGCCTCATGGATCGCGGCGATAGTGTGCTACCCAACGAGTCCGCTTCTCATCATGGCGGTGACTCACCAGACCCGTCCGCTGTCGCCAGTATTCCACCGTCCCACATGGAGGACATGCCATTCCCTTTCAAGTTCAAGGCGCCAAGTGGTCGCGTCCACCGTCTGCAGGTAGTCGTATCTGCAGGCATCGAAGAGCTTATTCACAATGTAGCCAACAAGCTCGGTAGCGAGGTCGAAGCCATAGGAGGCACACCGAGCTTTGAAGACGGCAAAGTGTCTCGCGGTGGTTTCGCACTTAGCTATCTTGACAACGAGGGTGATACCATCTCCATCACCACCAACGACGATTTGGTCGAAGCTGTCAGCCTGTCTCGTATGGCGCATCGCGAGAAGGTTGACCTTTTCGTACACCACCCCGACAAGGCCCCAATGTCTGCCGAGGTCAATCCACAACCTGCGCTACCCAAGCCCGTTACACCGCCTGAGTCTACTCTTCGCGAGCGCAAGCAGTTCTTCGATGAGGACGACGAAAAGCCTAGATCGAGAGGCCGGAATCAACCAGTACCTCTGTCGCAGCAGCCAGAGATCATTGCTGGTGTTCCAAATGACCTTCTCCTACCTGGAGCTATCGGTGTACTAGCCGTAGTTATCGTTGGTGTCTTTGTTCTTGGTCGCGCTAGTCGGTAAGGTGGACGTGGGGTAATGTGTGTTGGAGTAAGAGCGAGAGTGAATTGTTTCTTTTGTAAGAATCTGATATCCCATAGACCCCTGGGTATTTCCTAGCTGTTTTGGTAGTCAAATTGAATACATTTTACTTCCACTAATACACAACTTTGTTCAAGTAGAAGTGTGATGGATTGACGGATAGCCCGGCTACATAGGCAGTACAGTAATGAGTATGGAAGACACCAATGATGATACATGAGATGCCTCCTTCTTCAAACTTGACATGTTGTAGCATATGATCAACATGTGGCGTCATCAGGTGGAAGGCTCTCATAACGTCTACTCTGGAAACACAAGATTTTCATCGCATTTTATTTTAGACAATACAACTGAACATCACAACCTGCCGGCTATTCAAAGGTCATCAAGAGCATGCCTACTAATTCAAACGAAGAATATGTCGGATTATTGCAGGGGTAATACACTGTGTAGCCTACAATGGCACACAACTCCAAAATACAAACATACAGACGGTTATTTACGTTCCGATCTCATCTTTCCGTGAATACAACATTTCTATTGCGTGTTGTTGTTACAGCAGAGGTTACGAGTGCTCTTACGCTGTATGTGGCTAGCGCGCGGCGCGCCAAGCTCACTCGCTTCTGAATATTCGCATTGTGCGTGCCGACTTCACGACTCCGACGTCAAGGACGAACCTCACGACAACCACCCCACTGCTGACTTTTAGATAACACATCTTCAGTACGCACTCCCGTACCTCGTCAACGCACACTCCCGCTTACAAAACTCGATAGAATCAGCCGCAACCATGGTCAAGAAGCGCGCGTCCAACGGTCGTAACAAGAAGGGCCGCGGCCACGTCAAGCCCATCCGCTGCTCCAACTGCTCACGATGCACACCCAAGGACAAGGCAATCAAGAGATTCACCATCCGCAACATGGTCGAGTCCGCCGCCATCCGTACGTCTCACGATCGCTCTGACGCTGCGCCGAACACGACAAATAGCGAAGCGGCGACTTCAGGGCATTGAGGACTAACAACACACAGGTGATATCTCTGATGCCTCCGTCTTCCCCGAGTACACTGTCCCCAAGATGTACCTGAAGCTCCAGTACTGCGTCTCCTGCGCTATCCACGGCAAGATCGTCCGGTACGTTCAGCCCGCACAAGGATTCGGATGAACTCGTTTCTAACACACTGGCAGTGTCCGCTCCCGTGAAGGCCGCCGCAACCGTGCTCCTCCCCCACGTGTCAGGTACAACAAGGACGGAAAGAAGATCAACCCCAACCAGGCCGCTGCTAAGACTACTACTGCTTAAGTAGCGTGTGGTTCGAAAAGGGAATGATCATGGCGCTTGGTGTGGGGTCTTAGGGTTCTTTCGGAATGTCATACTGGAAAATGCATGAATCCAGAAGAAGGGACAGGCCAAATGACGAAATCATGGTTGAAGCTTGCTCGGGAAAGCCTGCATAAGCAGCACCGAGAGCTAGCTATGAACTTGTAGACGAATATCCAAGTCGACTTGCACCACCTTGCGTCCATGTTGGTGATTTTACTGGGTATCAAATGCTCGTACAGCTGGCTGACTGCGGGGCTTATATGCCGTTCACTTACGACATGAGCAGCACGTGTTGTTGCAAGCGTGGGATATAAGACGTGAAGAACTGCAACATCCAGTGCTTCGTTACTCCAGCCCAAGTGCAACTTTCATTATGCACGTCATACAGTGTCATCATTTCAGTCATTTCGCTTCTTCCCCTCACTCAAATCACCTCCATCGTCAAGACTCTTCTTCCCACTTACGGGCTCCGGTTCAGTAGTGTCCCAGTCTTCTGCATTCTCGTCCCATGTTTCAAGTTCTTCGTCAACAGTGGATCGGATGACACCGGACTCCTGCCCTTCCACATTCTCACCCAGCTCAATGTCTCGTTCCTCGTCCCCGGCAACGGCTGTATATCCGCGTGCAGCTCTCTTTCGCTCGAGCATGCGCTTGTGGTACCAATTACAAAGGCCGAGAGCGAGGAGCGAACCGAGGACGTTGGCTACGATGTCGTAATAATCGAAGTCACGATGAATCTTGGAACAAGTTAGTTTTGTGTAATTCGACCCATGGCCCTGTGCTTGAGCCGTTTCTTCTCGGGCGCATCTTGACTTACAGGCAACAAGCCTTGCACAACTTCACTAGCAATCCCCAGACCAATCGTGCACACCGTGAAGGTGAGCTGTAAGACTTTCCTTCGACTCGTCTCTAGTATCCAGTAGAAGCATAGTGTAAGAAGGAAGAAGGCGAGAAAATGTAGTGCTTTGTCGGATTGCTTGTACGAGGGGATCTTGTAGTCGGGCGGGGAAAACCCGGCGCCGGCGCTGATGAAGATCAGGGCTACGAAAGCGCCTGTGGACGCGTCAGCTTGGTGTTGTATGAGAGCTGCGAGCAAGTCGAAGAGGAATGTCTGTTGATTGCTCGGGCGCAGTGCCTAAAGCTCTCTCTGACGTATGGAACGAGTTCGTGCTACCTACCAGCAAACGGCTTCCGTATGCGCATCGTGTGGTCGTTTGGCTGCGGCTATGAGCGCTCAGGGAACATAATCAAGTCGTGGGGACAGAGCGCTGCTACGGGTGGGCGGCTGGAGCTACCGAGCGTTGCTATGCTGCCACGAGCTGGCATCTTGCGGAACTGGCTTGCAGACACGGGCTAACCTATCATGGTATCATGCCTGTCGATCACGTGTGGAACCTGTGAAAATCGACAACCTAGGAAACTGCGGGTAGACCCAGGTCGCAGCTCCGAGTCCTGGTACCTGACGCTATCTCTGCTGGCTTGCATCTTGAGGTTGATCTCAGCATTGCGATTAAGGAAATGCGGGGGCTTCCCCAGGGACATGAGTATGAAGAAGCTTGTATTTCTCGAGCTGCATCAAAGTCGACTGCGACTCAAAGGGGTTATGCCGTCCTTTACATTTGTACAGCTGCAAAATACGATGCACAGAGCATTTTCAGGGTAGGTTCTGCTGGATGAGAGTTGGAAAAGACGGGCTCCTTGGTCAAGAACGTGACCCAGATACGGCCAGGGAGCACAGTCCATGCCATCGGCGCCATGTCAGCGTGTGCAAGGCCACTGGAGGCGACGATAGAGCATCTCAGGCGCACATAGAATAAATTATCATGCTGGAAAATGCTTCCGACACGTAGGCGCTGGGATCAAGGGTTCTGATAATGGGATGTGGGTGATTCATGGGGTTCGTTGCGGGAGTCGAGGTGCTAACGCTAAGGCGTGCCTGGAGAAGGGATAGGTCAACCTGCAACTATCGACTTTAAACCAACGACCAAACTCACAGGCCGCATCTTTGGCCATCAAGACGCGAGCCCACAGCACCCCTTTCCATCTCGCAGTCATCAGAAATCGACTCGCACGCCGTAGACTCTTCTCACATGCTTGATTTTATCGCGTTGCGACACCTGGAAGACGGTCGCCCTGCTGGCGGGCCATCCCCGTGAGGCCGCGAACCGCCAAGACCACCCCCCACAACCCACGACGACGACTATGTCGTTCAGTGCGTCTCCATATCCGCCATCATCGCGAGAACGCCCAATCCATAGCCGCTCTCTCCATCAACCGCCTAATGCGACCCGTTTGCGGACTCCCAATGCGCTGAACGATGAGGCCATGTCAAACCACAACGCGAACAACTTCGGGGATGGGGGAGACATCGCCGCGGAGGAAGATCCTCGGGCGGCGCGTTGGCGCGAACACTACCTACGCACCGAAGCGCGTCTGGCTTCAGTGCTCGGCGGCACATACGAAGGCGATGCTGTTGATGCCCTGGACAACGAGGCGTCATCCGGTGATGCTCCGGCGCATGACGCGCGACCAGCCATCACCCCGAAGAAGCTAACCCGCACCATCGACGAGGACGACTACGGCGATGACGAAGACGATGAAGATGACGACGATACCCGCACCTCTCCCTTACACACGAAAGGCTCAACCAATGGCCTTGCTGCCGCCGCTCCCAGCACGCCAAGCCTTCTCCGCGTGCCCTCCATATCGAACAAGTCAGGTCACGACCGGACTGGGACACCTTCGTTGGAACACACAAAGACATCAGATGATGTGCGCAAGAAGCTGCAACAAGATAAAAAGGCAGCCGAGGATGCTGCAAAGCGGAGCTTCCAGACCATGTTCTACCCATTGGAGAGCGACCGTGACGCGATGCTGGAACAGCAGAAGCTTGACGAGCTCGACCGCCAAGTGGAGATAGAAACATCTGGAACGCCTGCGAATGCACCGCCCAACAGCGCCGTCGTGGCCCCTCAGCAGGGCACTTTGAGCACCACCAACCTCGGGGCGTCTAGCCTTACCCTCAAGCACCTCATCTCCCGCATCGATGCGCAAAGAGACAGAGTTCATGCGACAGACGCGCAGCTACGAAGCCTCATCAGCGAAGTCCGTAAGAATAGGAGTAAATGGGCAAACGAAGATCGGGTCGGCCAGGAGGAGCTCTACGAGAGCACGGAGAAGGTCCTCATGGAACTCAAGGCAAACGAACATGCCCACCCCTTCCTCCAGCGCGTCAACAAGCGAGAGGCCCCAGATTACTACAATGTGATCAAACACCCCATGGACATTGGCACAATGATGAAGAAGCTCAAGCAGTTACAGTACAAATCCAAGAAGGAGTTCGTGGAAGACCTCATGCTTATATGGTCGAATTGTCTGAAGTACAACGCAGACCCGAGCCATTTCCTCCGGAAAAAGGCCTTGCATATGAAGAAGGAAACAGAGAAGCTCGTACCTCTCATTCCTGATATTACCGTTCGTGATCGCGCCGAGGTCGAGGCTGAGGAGCGGAGAATGCGTAATGGCGATGCAGACGCTGATGGCGCTGATGACAGCGAAGATGAGGAACCTATCATGGCTTCACGGGGCAGAAAGGCACCAAGCAAAGGAGGCAAAGGCTCAAACGCGGCACGGAAGGCTCCTCCAGCCGGTCTGGAAGATACGCCGGGCCCAGAAACGAAGCCGCCAGTACCGTCTCTTAACAACGCAGTATCCAACCTGAAGAATGAGTTTCTACGAGCTGACTCTGAAATGGAAGGGAGCGTCAATGGTTTCTCAACACCTCCACCACCCGGTGCATTGACACCATTAGGGCCAAACAGCATCTCGCGGAACGGCGTGAATGGCAGTCAAGCCGATGTATCGGAAGCCGACGGCACTGGTATTTCAGTCAGCGATGCTTTGGAAGAGGATGCCGATCTCGACGACCTGGAATACAAAACCTGGAAACAAGTGACGAAGAAAGATCGAGCAATCATCGCATCAGAGAGGCACAGATTGTTCCGTGACGACCATCTACAACCGGATGAACCTGCCATTCTGCGCACTAAAGCTGGCATGAGAAGATGGTTACGACACCGAAAGCAGGCTATCGAAGAAGAGTCTGCTGGTGGAGCTGTTTCTGCGCCGGACGGCAAAGACGGCGTTCAGGCCACAGCTGGCGAATCACTTGCGGAAGGCATTGAAGGGGAAGAAGAGCGTCAGATTCCTGATTACTACGACCCTGTGTGCACCATTCCTGACCTTTCTGAGCGTCTGCAATGGGTCGAGGACGCTGAAGGTTATGTTATTCCACAAGCGGAAGAGTACATGCGTATCTTGCCGAAAGGACAGTTCATTTCCCCTGACAGTGCGCTCGTGCACAAGTTCGATGGTAACAACCACATATTGCAAGAAACCAGGAAAATCTGTGCAAAGATTGGCATCGTCAAACAGATGCAGATTCAGTCACAGGTAGGTCTTTCTCCGGATTCTGTAGGAGTACAACCGCTGACCCTTTTAGTTGTACCAAAACCAGTTCCAGAGATATGAGCCACAGCCTTTTCACGAGGCAGACATTGAGCCAATAGTCACGTCTGAGGATGGGCCGATCATGGCTCCTTATGTCTGTCGTGCTGCCCTGCAGCGCAGCGTTGGCAAGGTCTTCTATCATGCTGGATTCGAAGAGTTCCAGCCGTCCGCTCTTGACGCCGTGACTGATATCGCGGCAAAATTCTTCCAAAATCTTGTTGCAAGCCTGGGAATCTACCGCGAGACGCCAAAGATGAAGTCGGACACACCGATCATCCTTCCCAACGGCCAGGCTACAAACTGGGCACCGCGTTTTACCCAGGAAGAAGCCGTGCTTCATTCTTTGCATGCTAATGGCGTCGATCTTGAGTCACTGGAAACTTATGTCAAAGACGATGTCGAAAGGCTTGGTACAAAGCTCGGTGGTATGCACGATAGGATGAAATCGTACTACACTGAACTTCTGCGACCAGCTATGGACAACGCTGGCGCTGACGGTGCCGGTGCCTTCAATGACGGTAGCGAGCAGTTCGTGGGAGGCGATTTCGCCGAGGACATCGGCGAAGACTTCTTTGGTTTCAAAGAGCTTGGTCTCGATATTGAGTTCGGACTCACATCTAGTGTGCCGTTACATTTGCTGCAAAACAGGGTGCATAATGCGTATGCCAGACAGGATAACAGGTACGTTGGGCGAAATGCTTCCACAAGGGTCCCGCTAATTTACTCAGCAACATCGCAACTACTGGCGTCATCATGCCTGAACCGTCAAAATTCGAGCCCGTTACCGTACAGACCGCTGAAAACCAGATTGGTCTTCTGCAGAACTGGCTCCTCAGCAAACTTCATGACAACAATAGTCAGCCGCTTGTTGAAGATGACGATCTCCCCCCGAAGCAGCGATTCCCCAAACCCCGTTTGCCACCTACGGGCAAGATCTCCAGTCCTCGGAAACGTCCTCTCCGAGAGCAGCAACAAATGGCTCGTAAGAAGCGCAAGCTAGATGAGGAGAAGGATGAAAACAGCAACGATCAAGCTGGGTTCATGAAGGGCATTGGCAAGCCCATTGGAAAACTGAAGCTTGAGCCAGTGCAGAGAGAAAACCACAGCGTACAAGAGCCGGAGAAGGAGGATGGTAGCGCCCATGGAATGCCGAGCCCACCCGAGTCTTTCTAGTGACATACTGCTGGCTGATCACCGCGACTGGATCTATTTTACCAGTCGCCTTCTATAATTCCGACCTCTCACCATGTATTGTAGGTGACAGGAGGTCGTCTTTCGCAATCATTGTTTAATTCATCGAGATATCTTTATTCTTTTCGCGCTTTTCATGACGGCTTCGGGCTTACGCTATCACTTTTCTGTCTGCACAGAGCATGCTAATCTTGCGCGCGATTTTTTTTCTTCATTTCCTTCGCTCACCATCTTTCTGCGGGAGCAAATTTGTCTTGTTACATTGAAAAGGTGGAAGGGTTGTCCTTGTATACCCAACTTTGCATCTTGCGTAGTGGCTTTCTGCGTGGTTTTACGATCGCATGTTTGCGACATCAGGTTGGGCTCATGATGGGTTAGTTTTGGACTTGGGGCTTCGTGCATTCCTCTTTGTATATACCAGATCCATGGGTTTGAGAAGATTATCATGGCATCTATGGGTCGCCCATAGTATTTCAATGCTATTCATGGAGTATGACCATGCTATTAGTCTCTGTTTCATGTGTGACATAAACAGCATATCGCTACCGAGATGATATAGTTGTTCATCGTGAGGTATGCGGTAGAAAATTGGTTGTCAGTGTGATATGTGATGACGGTTCTCACATGGCAGTCGAACACTACCCTACTTGTCGCAGTGTGGTCACCAGGATATTAACATGATACTACAGTATCATTGCGCACAGACAAACACGGTCGACCTTAGCACTTGTAACATGAACAACAGACTAGCAAGTCGTCAGCTCGCAGGTCTCTGAGCATGCGTCTCTCCTACGCTCATCATACTTCCACTAGTTACGGAGCTGAGCTGTAGTGCGATGTTGACATCAAACACATGGCATCTGAAAGATATACGCAGGCCTTCCTAAGATTGACAAGAGCTATCCTAGCGATTGACGGCTTCGTGTGGTACCGAACAATTTTATGTTTGCAGAAATTCGCGTTGATAGAGAAGATGTCATCACCACTGCATAGAGTACTTGCCCGAAGCACATGAGTGCAGAAAAAAGGTAGAGCTGAACATGGTAAACTTAAATATCGAATAACATGCCATCGAGCCTTTGGCTTTACGATGTCTGTTGAGGAGTGAAACTAAAGTTGTTGATATACCTCGATCCGATAAGTGGTCGAGCTGAAATTGGAGGTTATTAGCGCACCTTCTTTTCCCTTTTGCGCGGACCCTCCATTCCCACTTTCCACATCTCCACCTTAGAGCGACGTCTGCATCACGATTTGACTCAAGTTTCAATTGAAGCCAATTGCTTATTTTCGGTAAGAAGTTTGCCACCGCCCGCCTCATCGCAATTGGCGACGTTGCTGATTCCGAGCTAACGTGCCACGAGACGTGGATCATCTCGGATGGACTTGGATCTCTTCTGTCACTTCACGACACCGACTTTCCTCACGACACTCGTCAACCTCGCGCGCATCTCCTCACGCCACTTCATTTCATACTTTTAATCGGCACAGATTTCTATCGCGCATTTCTGGGTCAGCATCATTAGCGCGCGTCAATTTCTTTCATCTGTTCTTGCGCTTCTTACAGCTGCTCAACCCTGGCTACCATTGAGACTTTTTGTGTCCATCATGGCCCCGAACGGCCACCAGGCATCTGCAAAGAAGGGTATTCACAAGTCTAGCGACAGCTCGTCCGTTTTTTGGGAGGACAAGCATGGCCATCGCGAGTTCATGGATTGGAAAGAAGCAAATCAGAACGGTCCTTTTCCTTCGTACGAAGAATGGGTAGAGTCTCAAAAAAAGTCAGGTGGTCTCTCATTGTACTACACAGCTTTGCGCATGTTTGAGGATTCTGATTCAACTGTGAGTTATTGTCACGGTGAATCAAAATCTGTCCTTTACTGAATGCACCAGGACGAGGAGGCCCCACCCGTTAAGGCCAAACCTCAAGCAGCCAAGGCTCGTGGTCAAGTTGGCCGCCCCAAGAAGTCTGCAAGTACAAATGGCAATGGATTGTGGCGCACGGTTTCGCCTGCGACATCGACTGCCGTCGCCAACTCGGAAGACTTTAGTCCCTCTGGCAAGAAGAGGCGTAAGGCGCGTAAGAAGCCACTCGTGAGTAACACCCGCTGAGCTTCTGTCTATTAGCTGACTGTATAAGTCCGAGGAGGTCGTCGCTTCAGCGAGCGACAGTGAAGTCGTCAAAGACGTTGGAGCATCGGCGCCCGTGGCTGAGATTGCGACGCCCACAGCACCGATGATCACCTTCAATGGGCAGCGCAAGTCTTCGACACGCAAAGCAAGGAAGAAGCCTATTGTGAGTTTCACTATGTACATGTCTTCTACTCCACGCTGACGTATCTAGTCGGAGGAGACCATCTCGCCAGATGACGAGCTAGAGGACCCGATGGAAACTACGATCGATGAGGTCTCTGCATCTGCGATTGCATCTCCTCTTCCAGTTCGATCTGGTATGTGAATTTCTAAAACTATGTTGAAGATTGATTGCCCGATTTGTGTAGTCCTGTCACGTTTGCCAGAACCCTGCTGGGCCGAAACCTCATGATGATTTGAAACGGAATCTTGCTTGAATGTTCTGTTGTGATTGAGCTAAACCTTTCACAGCTCCGAAATCGCCAGCCCCAGTACCGACTTCAGACTCGCCGAAGAAAAGCCATATCTTGAAACTGAGCACCAGGAAAACACCGAAGAAGAAGAATTTTGTAAGTGTACTTTCCGAGACACCAGTATATTTTGCTAACATGGTCAAGCCTGAGGGGTCTACTACTGAAAGTGGAGCTGTAGTTGAAGAAGATCCCACTCAAGCTACGCCTAGCGATACCGTGAGTGTAGCCGAGGCAGGCATCATTGTCAACACAAACGTCACACCAAAAGTCAATGGAAAGATAGCCCAAGAGACAGACTCTACTGCAGCTTCTCCAGATCCGACTGCCGCATCAGCAGGCACCACCCGACGTGGTCTTCGCACAAGAAAGCCTGCACAACAGAGACCATACTATCACGATTCGCAGTTGTTTGAGGATGTAGAGCCAACAAATGGAGATGCACAGGATTCAAGTAACACATCACCAGCTGCGCAGGGCAGGAGAGTATCAGTCGCGTCAATCAGCAAGAACATTGACGACGCGCTACTAGCCTCACTGGATGAAGAGGCCATGGCTCTCCTTCAAGAAGAAACCGAGCCCGAGTCCGCTAAACCCAAACACTTCAAGGGCAAAGGTCGTGCATGGAAGAAAGAAGGATCTGACGAGGACGAAGAATTCTCCATAGCTGCCAGTATGAAGGCTGCCAGTAAAAAGGCTGCCAAAGCAGCACGGATGAAGGCTAAAGGTCAAATCCCCAAGAAGCGTGGCAGGCCGAGGAAGAGCGGCCGGTCTGAAGAGCTCATCGATGAGGAGACAGATGAGGATAAGGACGCGGTAAAGCGGAAACGGCCGCCTCCACGCAAGAGCGCTTTGTCTGAAGAGGTCATCATCGACAGTTCTGACGAGGAAGAAGCAAAGGAGATGGAAGTGGAGGAATCTACGACACCCAAGCACACTCCAAACAAGTCATATACACCACAAGGCTTGCCAAAGTACATTTCTGAAGCTGACAATGGTGCGAACGGCGGCCCAGAGCTTGGCGCTGGTAACGAGTTGGAAGTTGCCAGCCCGTCCAAGGAGACAGTTTGAAGTGAAATCGAAGATTCTGGTAAGCTACTATACCTCGATTAATTGACGGTCGGAGACATGCTGATATATTGAATGCAGATATGCTTCACAGCTGGAGAGCCAGGACGATCTTGTATTCCATTTGTCAATTTCTTGGATAGCATATTTGGATCGAATTGTATGGCGGTGTTTGTGTAGACCTATCGGCGTCCCGGAACCGCATATGCGATAGGAATGAAGAAGCATAGTGTTAGGCGTATGTATCATCCGTCTGCAGCTGGTAACAGATTATGGTATTCAGAATGTGGATACGGGCCATGAAGTCCAGTCACCTTATTGTGAAGGCTCGAAGCATACAGTACATATGTTGTCAGCAGGAAACCCTTCGCGTCTTCAAGATAAGCTGAGGGTATCCCATCTATGTTATGGAACTCACAACCTTAAACCCCTCAGCCTAGCAAAGTAATACACAAGTCCAAACGCCAGTCCTCCTAGGTGTCCCGCATGGCCAATGGGCGAGTTCGCGTCGTTGAGACCGAAGCCATCGTAGAATGCATAGCCCGTAACAAGAGCCCAAAGTGGCATTGGCACGAGACCATATATCATCACTTTAGAATGTGGTGCCAGACACGCCGCTACACTGCTGATGCCCATGACGGCTCCGGAGAATCCCAAACCGCGCGTATAGTCTCTGGTATGAGGACCTTGAGCCTGCAACTGATAATACCGGTTGAATAGGTAGCCGACAGACCCCGCAATTCCAGAGCCAAGAGCAATGGTCAGGTAGCGGAAGGGCGTTATGATGGGCGCACTAGCCAAGAAAGAACCCAGGAAGTACACGGTGAACATGTTGGAAAATATATGGCCGATGTCTATGTGCGTAAAGATGGAAGTGAGGAGCGAGAAGTAGTTTCCATGCTGAAACGCAGTGAGGTTTAACGTCATCTTGTTCATGAAATTCACAAACGGCCTTGAGAAGCCCTGCCTAGCTTGCTCCTTGACGTAATATGCGTACCCGAAGATGGCGATGTTGGTTCCCATGAGTCCATAGAGAACAAGTTCGTTCATCTTTACCTGGGATCGGTAGTGACGGTAGCCGCCCGAAGAGTAGAAGCGCGTTCGTGGTAGGACGATATGTCGGGATGTTTGAGAGGGAGAGAAGAAGTGGGCAGACATTGTTTTGGTAGCTTTTGGTATCCTGAGTGTGCGGAAAGTCTGTGAGAGGCTGAGGAGAGACGACATGGTCCTATTTGGATCTACACGAGAGGCGTGTGGCGACGGGTAGTTATAGACGCAAGTTAAATCGACCAATTGATACAAAAGATTGATGGACAGGGTTCAGGTCAAGGAGTCTATGTAGATGGTTAGTACTCACACTCTGTCCATGACACGGGATACGGCGACATACATCAGGCGCGGACTTGGAACGTGGGCAAAGAACTTGGGCTAATGTTGAGCATATAGAAGGGACGGACCGACGTCAGCAGGGCCAATGACAAGCACGCACGGGCCCCTGCCCTCCACCAGCTTCAGATTCCTGCTTGCATAAAGCGGCCCGCTCAGCTACCACAACACCACACAAACCGCCCTCAGCTGCACAAAATTACACCATCATCTCTGCGCTCCGCCTCCCGAGGTTCATACTGACTCCTACTGCTCGCAGTACATCCCGCGCGAACACCCACCTGCAGACCACTCTACAAGGCGAAACAACGGCATTGCGACTCTCTCGAGGTTCAACCAGCTGCCTCGACACCGCACACGACTAGAACAACTCGACATTCGAGTCGCCATCAAGCCAGAAGCACCCCGATCCCGCACTTGCCGAACCCCACTTTCTTCGGGAAACACCACCTCGACTTCCACGTCCAAACCCCTCACTTTACATCTGCTTTGCTCTGCCCTACCGCAAGCATTGTGCACACACCAATTGCATATCTATCCACACCACTAGACCTTGACGTCCCGACCAGCAACCCCACCTTCGGTGGACCCCACATACACAATGACTTCAGAAATCACCAACCAACTAGCAGCAACGCAGCTGAGGTGAGTCAATGCCCAAAGAAGCAAGACCCACGCGCTGACATGTTTCCTAGCGATGCTGCGCCGTCAGGAGAGGCAAGCTGGAAAGCCGGGCTGAACGCGCCAGCCAAGGATGCGCGACCCCAGACAGAGGTACGCTATGAGCCTGCGAGTTATCGTTTTGGGACGTGTGCTAACGCTAGGTCAGGACGTTACAGCGACCAAGGGCCTCGAGTTTGAAGATTTCTTCATCAAGCGCGAGCTTATGATGGGCATTTTCGAGGCCGGATTCGAAAAGCCGTCCCCTATCCAAGAAGAGACAATCCCAGTAGCCCTCACCGGTCGAGACATTCTTGCGCGAGCGAAGAACGGTACTGGAAAGACTGCCGCCTTTGTTATTCCCACCCTCGAGCGTATAAACCCCAAGAGCCCCAAGACGCAAGCTCTGATCCTTGTACCCACCAGAGAACTCGCGCTACAAACATCCCAAGTATGCAAACAATTGGGACAGCACCTCGGTATCAACGTCATGGTCTCGACTGGTGGTACAGGACTGAAGGACGACATTATACGTTTGAGCGACCCCGTTCACATCATTGTCGGAACACCGGGCAGAATCCTCGACTTGGCTGGAAAAGGCGTAGCGGATCTTTCCGCTTGCCAAACATTTGTCATGGACGAGGCTGACAAGCTCCTCTCACCTGAATTTACCCCAGTTGTAGAGCAGCTTCTTGGCTTCCACCCCAAGGACAGGCAAGTCATGCTTTTCTCTGCTACCTTCCCTATTGTAGTCAAGAGCTTCAAGGTATGTTTAGTGAGCCTTTGCAACATACAAGATTTGCTAAACCACTACAGGACAAGCACATGAACTCTCCGTACGAAATTAACCTCATGGATGAGCTGACGCTCCGTGGTATCACTCAATACTACGCTTTTGTTGAGGAGAAGCAGAAGGTCCACTGCTTGAACACCCTCTTCAACAAGCTCCAGATTAACCAGTCCATCATTTTCTGTAATTCGACGAACCGTGTCGAGCTTCTTGCTAAGAAGATCACTGAGCTTGGATATTCCTGCTTCTACTCGCATGCGCGTATGCTTCAGCACAACCGTAATCGTGTCTTCCACGACTTCCGCAATGGTGTATGCCGAAACCTCGTCTGTTCGGACTTGCTCACTCGTGGTATCGATATTCAAGCCGTCAACGTTGTAATCAACTTTGATTTCCCTAAGAACGCCGAGACATATCTGCATAGGATTGGTCGATCTGGTCGTTTCGGACATTTGGGTCTGGCTATCAATTTGATCAACTGGGAAGACCGCTTCAATCTTTACAGGATCGAACAAGAGCTTGGTACAGAGATCCAGCCCATTCCCCAGGTCATCGAAAAGAACCTATACGTTTACGAATCGCCCGAGTCCATTCCTCGCCCTATGTCCAACGCCCAGCGCACTCCGAACCAAGGTCAGCCACAAGAACAAGACGGTGCCGCACGCGGTAACGCCAACGCTCGAGGTTTCCGTGGCGGACGTGGTGGCGGTGGTCAATTTCAAGGACAACGCCGAGGTCCTCCACAAAACCAACAGAATCGTCAACCAAACGGTCAGAATCCTCAGCGAAACCCTAGGCCACAACCCACTGGCCCGCCTCCGGCCTCGTAAAAGAGTCTGGTGGGTGTTGGTTATCTGCGCATTGTGTTGACTTTGACATCTAACATACGTTACCATGTCACCCAACAACCCTCTGTTCAGAGCCTGCAATGGCATTTGGCGCTTTGCCACCGAGTGCATTATTGAATTTCTTCCTTTTTACGACTATGCGATCGGTTCCGACGACACGGTACGGAATACCTGGATTTCCACTTTCAGGTTTGACGAATCGAATCATCGGCGCAATACGGTTATAACGATCGGACCTTTCTCCATGTACTATATACCAAGGTCTGTCAGAGTCGCGTCTAGTTTTTGCTTTGTGTCGGTCGGCTGGTTTCGCCGACTGCGTTCTTGGAGGCCTCTGCCTCTATAGTAGAGCGCATTCTACAGCTCCGTGCGCTTCTAGGTTTCTAGTTCTCACTTCCATTCTCTACTCAACAGCATTGGCGGTTGTGGTTAGTATAGTCTTTTCAAAAGCCCAGCATTCCTCATGTAGAGGTTTACGGCTGAGCACGATCTTCTTTGGTACGGCTATACCCTATTCACGACGCTGCTGGATATTCGTAGCTCTTTCAGGGCTATCCCACGTCTCCCTCGGCGACACTATGTCGCTCTCATTTCTGGCTTTTGACAACAATTATCGTCTTCAGCCTCACAACTACACTCCCTATTTGATACGTTGCTACACCATGGCGCACATTACTACACTATGGAGTTTCAGCGGCCCTTCTATCTCCCCTAGGCTACCGCATTCACCTGGCGGTACAACGGAGCGCCTTTCAATACTAGTCATCTTCTGTTTTGCACTGCAAGCAAAAGACCGGACTAGGCTGGGTTTGTGCTTCCAATCAAGCTACATGTATGCCTCTCGGACAACACGGCGCACTATTCATATTTGCGACAGTCTGTCGTCGATCCTAGAGGTTTCGTGGATTGGAAGGACTTCCTGGTAAGAAGAAAACAACGAAACGAACCACGTTGTTATCACAAGAAAACAAGAAAAAAGCTTTGAGGGCACGGTTGGAGAAGTCGTGGATTATGATCATGGTCTGCTTTGAGTACATAACTTGTTGGCAAATCACTGCTGCGGCTACTACTCCTGATGAAGCGACCTTGTTTGGGCGTCGTGTTTGATCGACTTCAAGTTAGTCCCAGGTCTTTTCAATGCAAACTTACTTCCCTCAAACACTGTTTTCTCAACGTCTTGCTACTCGCTTTCTTCCGACTACCAAGGTTGATTGGCATCAAATGCATTGAGAACTCGTGACATATCCTGCCTGCTATGTCAGTTGAAAGCAAGATATACCCACTCAAAGGCTAATGCTACGCGATTTGATTGAGATGATTTCGCCTCTCATTATCGACAAGTTGAAGAACCCTTCGTGGACCAACATCAAGAGAAACTCCTAGTCGTTTTCGTATTCAATCGCTATCAGGTACCCCGCCTCATTCCAGATTCCAAATGACGCATGAGCCTGTGTTGGGTCCTTTCTATCGTTCTTGTTTCTCAATAAAAGGAATTCATATCCTCTACTCCTGTTGATCTAATCACGATAGCTAGCCAAAACGACACTAAGAATGAAAATGTTCCCTCTCTAGAAGCCCAACATGACACCGGGCTGACAGACAAGGAAATAAACCGCCAACAGGACTTGGGTCGTTCCCATCAGTGTAACAGGAGGCAGTGATAAGTAGCTTTGGCCGTATAGCGACTAGCGAGCTCAAGTTTCACTCCATCTTCTAAAAGCCTGCAGCAACGCCTGGCCTTTTCTTCTCGATCCCCAAAACCATGTCCACATACTTCTTGTTGAGGCCATCCTTCTTTCTCGCAGCGAGCAGCGATGCGCTCTTCAAAACGTTCTTGATTTGGCGTCCATTCAACTCCACGCTTGCCAAGTCTTCCAAGTCGTCATCTTTCCACTCGTGCAGGCCTCCCGAGCTCTTCAGGAAGTTCTGCCAGATGCTCTTCCGCGAGGCAGATGTAAGATTCGGGTATGCCAGACTGATGTGAATACGAGACTGGAAGGCAGCATCAATGTTGTCAACACGGTTGGTGGTTAAGAACAATAGGCCTTCGTAGTATTCTAGCACACGCAGGAAGATGGACACAAGCTTGTTTCGCTCCAAATCGTGCGTGCTGCGAGCTTCGAGAAATACATCGCATTCGTCGAGAAGAAGAACAGCGTTCCATTTGGAGATCATCTCGAGGATGTTGGTGAGTTTGGTCTCGACTTGGTCGGGATCGATGCCCAGATCACCAGCCGACATCATGAACAGTGGAGCGCGCATGTGCTCGGCCACAGACTCAGCGGTAAGAGTCTAAAGATTGTCAATATACTGATTAGCTATACTCTAACAAGGAAACAGATAGAACCTACCTTACCGACTCCGGGAGGACCGCTGAGAAGAGTGATATGTCCACGGCCTTTGCCACTGATAACATCATCGAAGCCTGTTTGGTTCATGGCCTGCGACTCTGCAAACGCGAGAATGAGCTCTTTCTGATCTTCGGGAAGAACGAGTGAGGCAAAGGCATTCTCATTGAATTTGATGTCTTGAATCAGTTCGACGTAGAAGAGCAACCATTTCTTCTTCTTGAGCGAGTAGCCCCTCACTCTAGGCAAGCAGAGGAGATGGTGATGTTCGGTGAGTCTTGGGCGTTCCTCTTTCTCCTGACTTCCAAAGACATACTTCATTTCAGTTGGGTCCTGGATTTCCAGCCTTTCAGGGGCACCTTCAGGTTCCTTTGCATATTCTTTCGCAGAAAGAGGCTCAATACGACCAACAGAACGAGAAGAGAAGCGCTGATAGCTGTCCGAGTCGACGATGATACGGCCAGTACACATGTAGGATGCCTCGTTACCATCCCTGTCCGATGTGACTGCGAAGCCCTCGTAGGCCATGTAGTGGCTGCCTGCAAGAGCTTCGAACTTCTTACCACGGCTGACCAGCGCTTCCTTGACTTTGGCTTCGTAGGGATGAAAGGACAAAGGGAAAGCTGAGAGTCCCAGAATACGGGCAGTGCCGTGGAACTCCCCAAGTCGGATAGTCTGGCTACTGCGTCCAAACGAGGTGCCGTTCCAGTCGATGGCTTCAACGTTGAGCTGGTAGATCCTGCCACACGGGGTGTTACCGTAGGACCCAGATTTCAGCGTATAGACTCCATATGCTCCTTTGTGGGAGTTTGAGTAGATGAGAGCACCAGGTTGATACATAGTCCAGATGTGATCAAACGTTATGATACCGTGGCTAACGTAGTCTTCAAGTGTCTTGATAACATCCTTCAGCTCAGCGCAGAGTACTCCATACAATAGCTCGACATGTTTGGCAGTAGTGGCATCGAGATGTTTCCTGCTTCTGTACTCAAGTAGCTGAGACCATCGATGGACGAAAGGAGTAAATGGCGCTGCAAACTCCAGTCGCTTCAATCCACAATGTATACCGGGATAGTCCTTCAGGATTTCAGCGAGGGCATCCTTTAACCACGGTGACTGGATAATGATTGAGTGCATGTCGTACTTCTTGCGAGAGTCGGTCGCCTTCTGAAGCCGGGTGATAAGGGCATGCTGGGCAGTCTCCTCATTCTCAGCAGGATCCGCAACGTCTTCTGGTTCTTTCTCGGTCCAGCTCCACTTCCTGTTCTTGTCTGGCGGGCCTTGGTAGAGGTTCTTGAAGGATGTGAGGGAGCCTTCTGGGGCAAATCCTGCAGTGCCATTTGTGTTGTCGACACCATTCGCGATATCCGTGGTGGGCATAATGGTAGACGTTTCAATGCAGATAGGGTGAAGAAATGAGTGCAAGCGATGAGCAATAAGGGTTATGAGACGGTTAATTCGCCTTGTATGCTCAGGTAGATATACTGAAAGACCATGCCACATGGACTTTCAGGCAACAGTTGTGCCCCCATTAGCAGCCCTTGGACTCACCGGCCTCAGGCGTTCCGCTGCATGAGTCCAAGCCATTCACAAGAGCTCGATTGTGTATCATCAAGGAGAATCGGCAGATGTGAGTAGCCACAACGGTCATAGTCGTGAGGGGCTGTGGGTGACACAGTTGAGTCAGGCAATGGTACAGTCATGTAGCTCCCTTGAATGAGATGCATGGCGCGGAGAAGATGCGGAGGTCCAACAAGCGCTAAGACGATGATCCCTGTCGCGACTTTGTCGGCAGCCACCCCACCCAAGCATTGCGCATCGTCATGGTTGGAACAAGCTCGCACCATGTCCAAAGACGATGAGCCTTCGTACATTGACTATGAAGCCTTCCTCGATCCAGACTTCTCAGCGACGTCATTCGCCAACACACTTGTCCTCTCGACCAACAACGCCTCGGACACGCCGCTAGATCTGTCCACACCACTGTCGCGTGTCCTCTTCGACGTTCAGGAAGTCGACACGCACATCGACACGCTGACTACCAAATCGGCGCTGCCCCTACTAGAGCACACTCGAGAACATGCCGCATCGAGCCGACACATCTTGCACGAGGTGGAGGGACAGGTTGCCAGTTTGACTGAGTCGTACAAAACATTGGAGAAGGAGGTCATTGAGCGCTACGAGGTCGCTGAGCAGGTGCGACTAACAGCCGAAAGACTCTGCGAGACGGTCAAGCTGGGGAGAGCAGTCGCGCGATGTCTCATGCTAGGAAGGCAGCTCGAGGTGCGCATGTCAGAACTGGGCGGTGTTGGCAGCGCAAAGAGGGAGGACCATAGAGCCATGGTGCGCTCGGCAGACACGATGCTATCCCTGCGCCAATTGTTTGCCGCTTCAAAGCCAGGCGAAGAGGGAGAAGGTCTGGAGAGGGTCAACGTGGTGAACACACTCAAGAACGAGCTCATCAACCCAGGCGAGCGCAGCATCGCGTCGCGGGCTCAGCAGGTAGTCAAGGAGTTTTCCATGTCCTCGCTACTATCTTCATCAGGCCAGACTCCGGCATCCACCTTTGCGCAAACTGAGGACACCAAGTCGAGAACCACGTCTGCACTGCTCACTCTCTACCTCCTGTCGCCGCTTCCCACAAAGACATCAACCACCGAGACGACATTTGACCCGACGCTCATGCTCAATCCGCTGCAGGAATATCTCCAGACGCAGCTGAAATCGTCCCTCGCATCACTTGCACGAGCCTTGGGCCAGCTTCCCACCTTGGACCGCACGCTGCTCGAGATATCTGCGCGGTGTCAGAACATCGTAGCGCTACAATCACTGCTCGAAAGCATCAAGCCGCCTGTGCATCCGCTACTCGACCCCTCGCATGTCCCGACCTTTGCCAATTTTCTACAACCTCTTCTCCAAGCGCTCGATACTTCCTCTCTACCCAGCTACTTTTGGAGAACCCTCGCTTCCAACATGTCACCAAGAGTTCAGGAGCTCATGAACAAGGGTGGTGTATCCGCGCGGACGCTGAGGAGCAATAAAAATGCAGTTGGTGATTCAGTTCGGGAATGTGTGAGTCGCGGCAGTCAATTGGCGGGAGCGTTATCGAGTAAGGGTGTAGCTGTGACTTGGGAGAGAGAGGCTGCCGTTATGGTTAGGAGTATAACAGGACAGATCAAATGAGCAAACAACTGCCTCCAAAAAAGGCTTGCATGATATACCTGCTTTGCTAGCGACGGCTTCATCACTTCAACTCACTTCTCGACTGATATGTTAACCTGTGACGACACTCTCAAAGCATCAACAGATTGTTGGCTACACAGCAGAACTCTGTAAGATGCCAAATCCATTGCCATTCTTCACTATGCAAGATATCAAGCCAGTACATGTATATCCACAAGGTCACACATATCAGCATCATCACAACATTCATGAGTCAGGAGACTTGAAAGTCATAATGAAGAATGAAACCGGAACTCCATTGGCTAATTGCTACCCGAGTCCCCCAAAGGAGAGAAAACGAAAACCGTGTCATTGTCCCCCATGTAATCATAACTATTTTGTACCCATATACCTCAGCATGTATGAAAAGCTATCAAATGCTGAAAGGGGTAATGGTACACACGAAAGCATCAACACAAGCAAACGAACACAAGAATCGAGTCATTTACAATTCGTCCTTGACGCTTGAGGCTGAAGCTGAAGCCTCTGACGCAGCCGACGAGGCAGAGTTGGTAACCTCGGACGCGGCAGACTTGACAGACTTGGTAGCCTCGGAAGCGGCGGAAGAGGCTGAGTCGGAAGCGACAGAAGCACCAGACTTGACCGTCTCGGTGCCTTCTGATACAGCTGAGGCAGCAGAGTCTGTGGCGGAAGAGGCACTGGCCTTGGCGGACTCGGTAGCATCTGCGGCGGACTTAGCAGCAACCTCGGAGGCGGCCTTGGCCTGTTCAGCGAGCTTTTCGGTCGTACCTTCAACAGCTTCGCCAACGCTGGCGCTAGCCTTGTGTGAGCCGTTCTCTTCGATGAACTGGACGAGATCCTCGACAGTGCGGGAACCAGAGTAGTCGACTGGGGCATCCTTCTTGCCAGCGGGGAAGAGCTTGATGGTAGGGAAACCTTGGATCTCATCGGGAACGTCGTTGAGAGTAGCGTCAACCTTGGCAATGGTCACCAGCTTAGAGAGCTCGTCGGAAGCGTAGAGCTGACCGAGCTCCTCGTACTTGGGAGCAAGAGCCTTGCAGTGACCGCACCAGGGGGCGTAGAACTCAACGAGAACGTCCTTGTCGTTGTCAATGACGACATCCTTGTAGTTGTGGGCAACGACGACAGTTACGGGACCGTCGTTGGATTCGGGAATGGGCTCAGACTTGATGCTAGGGTCAATCTTGCCAGCGAGGAAGTCGTCAACGAACTTGCCAATCTCCTTCTCGGTGATCTTGGCCTCCTGGTCGTAGGGGAACTTCTCGTTCTTCTCGGTGCGCTGGATAGCGAAAGCGGGCCAGGTGCCGACCTTGAGGTTAAGGTTGCCAGCGTGCTGGCCAAAGGACTTGGCGTCGATGGTAGCGAAGTTGATCTCGCCCTTGTGCTTGAGAGCGAGGGGCTTCAGCTCCTTGGCAAACTCCTCACGCTCCTCGGGAGTCTCGGCGAAGATGTATGCGAGGGGAATGCCAGCGGCCATGTATCCGGCGTAGGTCTCAGGGCCAACCTCACCAATGAGGGGTGTGGAGGCGACCTTGGCGAAGTCGCGGATAGCGTCCGCATCGAAGGTCTCGGTGAAGACGTCCTTGCCGTCGTCGAAGGACTTGTAGAGGACGAGACCGGGCTGCTTGACACCCTCGGCCTTGGCCAGAGCAGCGTCGTTGGTGGCACCGAAGAGGAAGTTGTCACGGAGACCGTTGGCGACCGAGGTAAAGGTCTCGTTGGAGGCCTTGTCGTCGGCGGCGAAGTAGGCGACGAGGACGACCTTGTCGGCGGTCTTGAACTCCTCGAGTGTGTCCTTGGTGACTTCGGAGACGGCAGGGAGAGCCTGCTTGGTCATGTAGGAGATCAAGCTGTCGGCCTTGCGCTGTCCACCGTAGGGCGAGACATTCTCGAGGCCACGGAAGACCTTGAGGGTGGGGTAGCCCTCAACGCCGTACTCCTGGCACAGATCTGCCTCCTCTGTGCAGTCGACCTTGACGAGGGCAATGTCCTTCTCCTTAAGTGTGGTAGCCGCCGTCTCGTACTCGGGAGCAAGCGCCTTGCAGTGGCCGCACCATGGCGCGAAGACTTGGTTACTTGTTAGTTTGGGCACCCGTTTGGACATTTATCAATCCATTTGTTAATGCGGCAACTACTTACACTCTGCGAGGACGAGGTCGTTCTCCTCAATGAAGCTCTTGAAGTTGTCCGTCTTGAGTTGCTTGACGTCAGACGCAGCAGCAACGGCCGCAAAGAAAGCAGCGCAGACAGTAGTGTACTTCATTTTGCTGTGGTGGGATGTGGGTGGTAGAGGAAGAGTGAGTTGATGGTCCTCTGCACGGCGTATGGGGTAGAAGTAGAGGAGAGCGGTGAGGTGGGCTTTTATTCCAAGTGGAGGCCGTGGCGGCTTTGGAACTGGCAATGTGTTAACTTCACGTTCCACCCGTAGTAGGCGCACGGATGCTCCAGCCTAGCGCTAGCACGGTCCCTGCACCGACTTTCACCACATTGAGACCACGTTACTCTTACCCGCCGCATGCTATGTACCCACCTTTACTTAGCAATCCGCCGCGCCGCCTCTCTATCTCGCTCACCTTGCCCTAGCCCTTCCCTGTATTTCACCCGCTTCTAGTTAGCTGCGTGTTCCTGCCGATCTTCGATGCATATTATTAATCTATGGGCCTCCTTCACTTGCCATTTCCGAATCAAGCCAATGTCAGCATCCAAGGACAGGTGTTCACTCACTTGGGTGTGGCTCGTATATCTTTAATCGGGCCTCGACCAGAGCACCAGCCATGGTACATGCCGAATGTCTGGCCTTCAATTCCTAACTTGGCAACAACTTTCAATTGCGTTTCTGGGGCACTCACGAATATCTACACTACCCCAAAAACCTGTTCAGAGGAAATGTGGTATCGCAACATCTAACCGCGGAACACTTCCGCCTCCGTATCTAAATCTCACATTGCGATTACTGAACGTGAGAACCATATTCACTGTAAACCCAGCCAATCCAAGTGCACTCAACACAATCATCTGATTTCAATCATGTCAGATTGACTCAACGAATACAAATTCACGCAGCAGTAGCAACCCTTTGACTCGCTTCGTCAAGTCCCGCTCTTTCCTCCAGCTTACGCAACCGCTCTTCTTCCTTCCTCTTCATCTCTTCCTGGATCCTTACACGCTCAGGAATGACCTGTTGCCTCTTTCCAGTAATCTTGAAACCTTCAATTCTGTCCTTGCCCAGCGCCTTCAATGTCTTGCGCTCCACCGCGCTGTAATTCCCATCCGCACGGTCAAATACAAAGGGTTCTTTGACCGATACTGGCGGGTTGGTAATGACGCGGACCTTTCGAAGCTGGTTGTTGGAAGCGGAGTGCAGCATCAGCGGATGTAGAAGGTAGACGTCACCGACTACACCAGTAGCTTCGACGAAAGCTTCATCGGGCATACTAGCAGCAAGATCGTTAAACCACTTCAGCCCTTGTTCTTGCACAAATTCTGGATTTTGCGCTCGTGGCGTCATCCTTGGGCTGACTCCCTCAGGATTCTCGTACAGGTGCTTCGCCACAGTTGGAATGGCTCCTGGGCAGATATATGTTCCACCGCCGCCAGCGACAATATCTGTCCACAACGGAATGACCAACAGCGCTTGCTCAGGCGAATCGAGGTAATGCACAAAGAAGTCGCCGTCCACGTGCCAACCAGGAAGATCTTGCGGCCGAACAACCTTGTTGTGACCCTCGTTTGTTCCAAGATTCACGATAAAACCGTCTTTCCACGTTGATGCATTGGAATCGACGCGATCGCTGCCGCCAACGAGATTGCAGATTCCTGCCCAGGCTTTCGGCGCGAACTCTTCTACGGAAAATTCATTGAAGAAGGGCATATTCGTTCGCTCAGTATGCCTATGCTCGTCATGTTAGTGCTTTCGCCACAAGTGCGCCACATAAGGTAGGGTAAACGGCCGTACCATGTTGACATATCATTAGAATCCATTCCCAACCTGGTCCAGAGTGTTTCTTGTAGACCCTCTGCTTGCTCTCTCGTGAAACAGTTGCTCAACTTCAGCCACCCATTTTCTAGGAAGAAGTCGATTTGCTCCTGCGAGAGCTTGTACCGTTCCTCCGCGTTCGCCATAGTGTCGTATAGTATGAAATACAAGTTCCGCGTTCTTACAGCAATTCAGAGCCCCTTTGCTTACAAGATGGATATTAGAAATCTGAAATCAAAATAGGTGTCCGAGTCCGCCGTAGAAGTCAAGGTTATATGTAGTAAGTTGAAAGTAGGAGACCGGACTTAAATGCATGGCGACGAATTTCCTATCGCCGCCTACATCCAATGTCTAACGCCACCGACGGTAGGCACATTGCTGCTAACGGCATTATTGCGATTTTATCCGGTGGACTATTAGCCATGTGCCTGTTGAAGACGCTACACGTGCCGTCCACAAACATGGACGATGTGCGGGGTGAGCTGTTTGGGGAAGCCGGCGGGGCAAGCGATGCTGATGTTGTTCCGCGGACACGCTCAGCTAAAGTTATTGGCTACTGAGGTCGCAACGCGACCACGATAATGGAATGCGGATTGCACTACGGCTGGACGGATATTTTCTTTCGATTTCAGATGACCAATACATGGAATTTGTGGATTCACAATGGTTGATTTGCACATCACGTTCTACATACGATGGTTACTTCTCGATCAGCAGCACCCTTCGTGCAATACAATGCCTTCGTCATTCATCATTACCGCATTGCACTCATCTGAGACATTACTCATCTAGTTTCCAGTCCACCAAATATAGTTGTTCGTCTCCTCGGGTGTATCGAAGACAAGCTCACTGCTTGAGTTCACTGGCCTTTCAGGGAAGACGTTGGTCTCAATGTTCCAGAACTTCATGTCCGAAGCCTTGACAGTAGAGTTGGCACCAGTCCATATGCTAAAACCCGTGCTATCGGTACGAGACGGGTAGATGCGAGTGGTCAGCCAGAAGCGATCGTTTACATGAACCTCCACGAGCGACCCATCAATGAAGATATCCATGTGCAGAGACTCGGTTGTACCGTTGGAGAACGTGTAAGGGTAGAAGTATCCGAGCATAGTGTAATTGGCGAACTGCTCGATAGAGGACGATTGCGAGCGGTCAACGTTGATGGTATAGTTCTCAGGACTGTACCAAACGATTGTCTGCTCCTCGTGTCCGGGCGATTGAGCAACCACAACACCAGCAGGTCCAGTGAAGTCAGACAGCGTAACTTGGAGATGCATATGGCTGGTACCATTGCCGGAAACGTCACCGGAAACGCAAGCAGTCTTCTCAGTCTGAATGGTTTGTGGCTCGGCTCCACCATGAAGCCCCTCGACAACATCAGGTAGAGGGCGAGCTCCCAGGGTGTATCCAGTGAAAGTACCGTCACTGTGTTCTACCACGCGAGTGTTTCCCTTGGTGGTTAGGCCGGCATCGGTGTTGACCAGATCCTTGGTCTTGATGACATACATCTCTCGTGGTATGGCCATGGCACCTTGGAAGCCTTGCTGGTTGATGGCGAAGTTGTTGTTCTCCTCGTTTGCCCAACCCCACTGGACGCGACGGTCGTTCTTTGAATCCCAGAAACTGGTTACTGCGTAAAGTAGGCCAGAATCAATGGCGCCACCGGACAGAGGGGTGAACTCGGCTGAGCCATTCTCCCTCCTAGTGACCTGGCCTTCGTTCCACAAACCCCACTGTGCACGGGGATGCCAGGTAAGGTTACCTCCCTCTGTTCCCATAAGGACGTAGTAGTGAACGTCATCATCTTCATCCTTCAGAGAGAAGAAGTTTGATCTGCACAAGTCAGTACTTGGACCGTAAATGTAAGAGGCTTTACACTCACACTTCAAAGTTGAAGCCGTAGGTTCCAGTCTCGACCAGTGAACCAAGAGTCTCGTTCCTGTCGGGCTCCCACAAGGCACCAAGGAAGGTCCAGTCTGTCAAATTGCTGGCAGGGGCACTGTAGAAAGGAATGCGACCACCTCCACCTTCGCCCTTGATACCGGAGCCGAGAACCATGTACCAGTGAGGCTCCTCTTGTCCCAAGAGAGCATCCATCTCCGGCCAAGGCTTGTGAAAGTTAGTGCTGGACTCGGAAAGAGTTTGAACAGATATCATACCTCGACAAAAGGATCGCGCCATCCAGTAATGTTCCAACCCTCCGGCGGCTCAGTCATGATAGGGTTACCGGCAAACTGCTCCCACGTCTTACCACCGTCATTGGAAATGACAATGCTCTGACTCTCAGTTCCCGGGATATATGGCAAAGCCCAGTTTGTGGGAAGGTGTTGAACTGAAGTGTAAAAGTTGATGAGAGTACCGTCTTGCTCGCCCTTAAGGTTGTAGGGTTGTCCTGAGCCAGAAAAGATACCAAGACCATAGTAACTGCTGTTGTCGGAGTCGGGATAGGGTCCGGTACCGACAGACTGTGCCTTATCGTCTTCCCAACCTCCGACGTCCGTCCAAGTGATCATATCTTTGGACGTCGCATGACCCCAAGAGATATTACCCCAGTTGACGTGGTTTGGATGCCACTGGTAGTGAAGATGATAAGTCTCTGTAGTAGGATCGTACATCATACCTATGGATCGGTGTACGAAGTCAGCATCTGTTTCACACGTGATTCGCACAGAGAGACGCACCACACGGATCATTGAGCCATCCTGCTGGTGCAGAGAAGTGGTAAGTCGGGCGCCATCTCGTGAAGAGGGAATTGTTGCCCATGCTTTCAATGATATCGGCAGTCAGTACTGCGGGCAACTCCTGCGCACCGACAGTGGAGAGGCCTCCGAGCGCCACGCTCAGGAGAGGGAGGGATCGAAACATCTTGTTTGAAGATGGTTGTTGTCGATGCTACGGGTGGTCAGTTCAGTCACAAGCCGAAATAAAGACGTAGTCATAGTCCGAGGAGCCTCCAGTCTGAATCAAGATAGACAACATCGATACAAAGACCAAAGGTACTCCGAGCGTAGGCTTACCTGAACAATGGGTTCGCTGATCGATACTCAAACTAAACAGCAGCTATGAGAGGTTTATGTACTTTTCCGCAGTAAAGAAGCAGGGTCCACCAAGATAGTCTGTGATCATGATATTCAAATCCAAGAGCTTGCGCCCCGGGCCTATGGTCTGGGCTGGCGCAATGCCGAAGCTGGTTTGCAGTAGCCTGTTGACGATCCCCGCAAATTCGGCACAAGCTCCCCATGGTTCCCCACAATCGGTAGTGGAAAGAAGAAAGTGTCGTTCTCGAACGTGCATAGAAGGGCTGGTACACGCCACCCAGTCATCTCCTGTACAGTTGCTAAACTGTTGTGGAAAGGCAGCGGACCTCGAAGTCCGGAAATTCCTCCGATCAGTCTCGTAATCGCTGCGCCTGGTCCAAGTTGAAGAAGACTTTTCTTGTGTACATGACATGGCTTGGCTGGCAATTACCGACAACGGTCCTTGGAGTAGTAGTGGGTTGTTGTGCTACCGAGTATCCTCCCGAGAACCAACCTTGGAAATCTTGCTGCGGGGATGACCAAGAGCTCTGCCATGTAGAATCCGGATCGCTTCGGACTACTGGGGAGTAGCTCTCAGACGTGCAGCTCTTGCGCAGGAACGCTCGAGCAGCCCAGTGAACCATTCCATGGATGGTGTGCATGAGATGGAGTACCATGGACGCAGGACTGCCTACGCGCTATCGCGCGCCAGAATCTGGGGTGTTGATGCACACCGCAGCGTTCCAGAGCCCATGAATCCGTGAGCACGACATGGCTTCTCGTTTTCTGGGGAGAATGATGATGCTCGGAATATACTGAAGTACACAAGGCACACGTGCAAGCGATACGATGTGTTGCACTTCACTCGCTTGCACATGTGCCTCTCTGTGCTTGGCGGCGGGCGAACGTCATTGCCGTGGCGGGCCACGTTTCCTAAACCCCCCAACGCGAGCACCGCCGCAACGCGACTTGCAGTCGTTGTTTACACTCTCAGATGGGGACACACAACCTTTTATAGGCGTCTTGCAGCTTCACCATAGCACCATGAGTCGACTCAAACTCTACGTTGCAGGTTCGGCCGTCGTGGCCAACCTCGTGCTGATGCGCGCATACTATGAGCGCCCAAACTTCTACTCGGCCGCCGTCTACATCTCCCAGAGCACCGGCTCGCTCATGTTCCTGGTCAATCTCATGCTCATAGTCGCCGCGAGCTTTGGTTATGGACTCCAACGACTCTTCTATGGCCCTCTGCGCCCCATCGAGACGGAGCAGCTATACGACAAGGCTTGGTTTGCTGTGAGCGAGACATTACTAGCAATGACCATCTTCAGAGACGATCTTGGCATGTGGTTCTTCGCCATGTTCCTCTGCTTGCTCGCAGGCAAGGTCTGGCAGTGGATCGGGGAGGGAAGGGTCGAGTTTCTCGAGCAACAGCCGCCCGCGAATCCAAAGTTGTTCCACACCCGCCTGATGAGCTCCCTGCTACTTTCCGTTGGCTTCGATATATTCATGATGCAATACTGCATCGATTCCATTCTCTCAGAGGCGCGGCCTGGTGTCATGGTCATGTTTGGCTTCGAATACGTCCTCCTGGCGACCGCATCCATTTCGACTCTGCTACGATACACGCTCTCGCTCGTCGAACTATTCATCACACAGCGCCAAGAGAAGGCACGAGAGGAGGCTCGCAGAATTGCAAGAGAACAGACACGTCAACAGGCAGCAGCAGCTGGAGCTGAAGCGCCTGTCGAGATAGAGGAGGAGGAAGAGGAGGAGGAAGATGAAGGCGACGTGCCCGGGTGGGAGGAAAAGGGCCGCTGGGTGTTTTACTTGGATCTCGCGACCGACTTCGTCAAGACACTTGTCTATCTGGGCTTCTTCGTCATTCTCATGACATTCTACGGCATACCCATCCATATTATGCGAGACCTGTTCATGACGATACGATCCCTTCTCAAGCGAATCAACGACTTCATCCAGTACCGGAACGCGACCCGCGACATGAACACACGCTATCCAGACGCGACAGCAGAAGAACTGGATCGAGAGAATACATGCATCGTCTGTCGCGAGGAGATGCGGCCCTGGACACAGCCAGGTGCGGATGGTGCGCAGCCTGGCCGAAGGATGGATGAGCGACAACGGCCGAAGAAGCTTCCATGTGGGCACATCTTGCATTTTGGCTGTCTTCGTAGTTGGTTGGAGAGACAACAAGTGTGTCCCACGTGCCGAAGACCAGTACTCGCATCGGCGACGACACAGAACACACAGCGCAACAACCAGGCCAACCCCGGAGAGCAAAACCAGCAGAACCGAGAGGCGTTGCGAGCAATGTTTGGAGGAAATGCACAACAAGGTGCCGTTGGAGGGCAACAAGGTCAGGGCCAACAGGCAGCACCGCAAGGTGCACAGGCGAATCCCCCAGCCGGCAACATGCGCGTTTTCAACTTCGGACCCTTTCGAGTTGCTCTCGGGAATATTCGGGTACCACCCGGCCAACAGGATAACGTCGCTGTGCAGAATGCGATTCAGCGACTGCGTCAACAGGCTGCCGCGAACAACGTGGCGCAAAATCAAGACCAACAAAACCAAGCACAGGGCCACATAGCGGTCACACAAGGCGTTGCTCCCAGCTTTCCTACTGGACCCATGCCCGGAGCTATCGCACTTCACCCGTCAGATATTCAGTCGGACATACTGCGTATACAACAGAACATCATTGAATCGATGCGAAGTTTGAACGTACAACATGAGCAACTCGAGGTTCTCCACAGACTTCTTGCTGAGCTCAACCGACTTCAACAGGCTTCTGGCGTAACAGCCGCAATAGGGCAAGAGCTACCGCCTATTGCCTCGTTGAATGCATCCAGTACGAATTCATTTACTCCACAAGCCTATTTCTCTAGAGGTTCCGTCTTGCGTCAGGGTGATCCTGGTGTACCCGAAGGGCTAACGCTACCGGAAGGGTGGACATTGAGGCCGATGGCACTAGCGCCACGGACTGGCCAAGAAACCGCGACACGTCCATCCTCGCAACCTGGACATCTGGCGCAAGAAGACAGCTCGGCGCAACCTCAATCGCAACCATCGCAGCCAGTAGTGGGATCTGAAGCAGGGCCTTCAACGTCTGCTACTGTGACTCCTCAAAGCCAGCCAACCCCATCAGCGCCAAACGCGACTGTTTCTGATCAGTCCTCGACTTCGTCCCCAAAGCCTGCCGATCCCAATAGTCTTGAGTCTAGCTGGAGTTTTGGCAACGTAGGGGAAAGGACTGAGACTGAGGGTTCAAGCTCTGCGGTTGCTGACAATAATTCGGACAGTCAGGGTGCGACGAGGCGGACGGTCACCATGGAAGATGTTGCAGACGGTGAGCAGTAGATAGACGATGGATGATGGCACTGTTATGGTTCTGTATAGCATAGCGAGGCGTTTGGGTTTGTCTGATTATTCTTTGACCGACAGGGAGTCGCAGTTGTCCAATAAAGCACGACAGGCAATCCCTGCGATTGACACGCTCACCGGTCGGTGCTCCACTACGAATCGCTACACATGTTTGATCATTTCGCCGTCAACAGCGAAACAACGAAGCATGCTCTCCTGTCCATTCATCTCGTATGCACCCCGCACGCATACTCCCTCCAAGTCGCAGTAATTCCAGCCCACGAGGCGATACTGGACGAATGTTTCATGCACATTTATATGCACATGTAAATGCACGCTCTCGAGTCCTCCACTCACCAGACCCACAAAGCTTATCGATGCCAGTCTAGCCTGCCTCATCCCGTCGTCGCTTGTCGCTAGCGTAAAACACGTGTCCAGTTAAACCTCAGCTGCCTCCCAAGACACCACATCGAGGCGGCTACGTGCAGGTCGTGAACAGCACAAGGTTGGAACGGTGGCCTAGGCGGTGCGAGGACAGTGGGTAGCACCCAGTAACGACTGCAGGAACGCAAGCCCTGCTACACACTTACGAGCAATCGAGGGCGTGCGGCGACATGGGTCGGGATGCCAGCGGGATAAGTGTCAGGGCCCCCGTCTTGGGCGAGCGTGTTAACGGCGACTTTGACTCGACTTAACACAACTGAGGTTAACGTTGTGATTTGGCTTTTTGGATGACTCTTCATTCACCCTCGCTAATGGATGCTTAGACCGCACTTTGTTTATTGCAATTTTGTATACCTATCGTCCTTTTCTCTTCCTTTCTCTTAAGTTCCATTCTGCATTGCACCTTTTCCTTGTTCGTTGTCTTGCGTTTTAGCGATGGCGGTCAAGTTGGACCATGCACATGTTGCGCGTAAGGCTGAAGAAGCCGAGGTATCTACATGTGTCTCTGGCATTATAGAAGCCTTCACAAATGGATTGGACATCTTCAAAAAGTTGCGCGAGAGGAGAAGAAAGCGCAGATCAAAGAGAGATACCGAAGTACCTGATTCAACAAGTACTGCGGAGCACCAACTTTCAAAAAGCTTACGCAGAGGGCCGGAGGAGGTGGCCGGGAAGTATACTGAATGCTACTACAGCGGCATCGGGCCGCGATTCGCAAAGGGCGACTGTAAGTAGAACGTTCACCTGATCTGTTTTCAATCTAACACAATACAGCTATTGCCCATGCATCCCTCGCAGAGATCTTGATCAAATTAAACACCGGCCTAGTTGCTATTATCGCAGCGTTTTTAAATCATGATGGACACAAAAGCGGAAAGGGCCACCTAGATCTAGACTACAAGTCATTGACCCATCTCTCCGATGCATCACGTCGCGAAGCACTACAAAGCCTTGCTCAATTGTATCAGCGACTAAGCCAATCTCAACTTCAGCTGCATAGCATTGGCGCTCCACCATGCCCGCGATGCGGCACAAGTAAACACCACGACTGTTCTTCTCGAAGCACCAGTCCTGAGAAGGAGAAGAGAAAGCACTCGAGCTCTTCTCGCCAACGCTCTTCAGGCCCAGTAGTAACACGCATGTCCATCAAAAGTCGGAGCTCGAATGAACCACGGCTCGTCGTCATGCGACCAAAGACCTCCCGTAAAGACAGCTCATCGAGTAAGAAATCTAGCTCAGTGAAGTCGCCATCCAATTCATCACGCAGCTCTTCTCCATTGGCATCTCCCGAGCCAAAGAAGATTCAGATGGCACCACAACTACCCCTTTATGTACCTGTCGAGCCATTCGAGATTGAAACGTCTGGTGTTATCAGAGGTACACTAGGTGGCGGTCCAACAAAGACAAGTGGTGCTGTCAAGCAGCGCGTTGATTCCTTCGACGACCCACGCGAACCATGGCCCCAGGAAGCTGCCTACACCACTAGCAAATCACCCTCCCCAAAGCACCTCAATGAGCCTACCCCCAAGCTCCCTACCTTTGCCCCTACAACCCGCCGCTCCTCGTCTCCTGCTCACTCCAAACCTTCAGTCTCTTCCAAGCCGCCAGTTCCAAACAAACCTTCCTACCTATCTCCTCCGCCATTACTCGATCAGGCCCCAGCGACCCTTCACTTCCGTCGTCGCTTGGACAAAGCCACACCATCTAGCTACACTTTTGCTTCCGACAGCACGAGATTGGGAGAGATACCACAGAGACAGTGGACTAAGCCATTTGATTATGAGGAAGCTGAACGACTCAACGCGGAGGCTGCCCTGACTGGCTACCCAAATGCACCGATGGCAGACTCCAAGGACGCCAAAAAGAAGAAGCGCTTTGGCTTCATGCGACGAGGTGATTAAAGGGGGCTATCTCCTCAACACTCGTCTTTCCGTTTGTACATTTGCTGTTCATCTCTTTTCATGTTGTATTTTGTACGGCTCTGTTACTTTTTATTTGCTCGCAGGCGTTGGTTCTGATGTTGGATCATTTCCCTCTCTGCTCTGTTTCATGTATGGCGTTGGCTTGCATTGCTTTTTTATCTCTCCACTCTTGGCATCTGGCCCCGGGCCCGGTAATGATGGTTACGTTTACGATTCTTCACGCTTTAACGACTATGACGAGGTTATACCCTTTTCCTTTTTTTGGTTGTTAACGGCGGCACTATATACCCATATCTTGTTTTTGTTAGCGATATCCGCACACAGCGGATGCTTTTGGATTACTTGGTAGTATGATTAATTAGGATATGGTTTTTGGTTTTTACACTCAATAACTGTCTTTTTTGGTAACTGTGATTGCGATAACCTTATTGTGGTTTCTGATTGGGGTTCAAATGTTCAAATTCCAAGTCTCAAATCCTGTCTCCGAAGATGGAGCTCGGCATAAGGAACACTGGTTTAGGGGCCATGTATGAACAGCCCTACGCCCTCGACTCCGCACATGAACGCGAAACTTCGCTTTCTTCTGCATAAGGACGCTCACTCGCTGAGTTAGTTGATGAAGCATCCCCATGAACAATATCAAAGTACTCATGATCTAGGATATTATGTTCTTTCGATCTGCTGCATCATGAACAAGACCTCAACGTATGCGTGATGGGCTGGGAGTCTTTGGTTCCAAGGCGAAGGTTCCGTCGTCATCTTGGGTACGTGCGTTGTGGCTCAAGCTTCGCTTCTCACTCAGGCTGTCTCACAAATTCGCCACCAACAACCTCACTGCATCTCATCACTTTAGCCAACCGAGCAATCTGGTCACTGGTTCCGCAACGTATCATCGACCTTCCGGTCTTCGTTACATGTAGCTCCCGTCGCAGAAAGTGTCGATGTCAGAGCAAGCGATATCAACGCCCCGCGCCCAGTTCTAGCTGGTAAGCTTTCAGTGTGACCACGGACTCCGGTCATCAGGAAAGCGGCAAGACAATGATTATTCAGATATAGCGTGAAGTACTGCATCTCGAAGTTCAGGCGAATTATCTCGCTTACAGTTACGATCCGACGGTATGCCAGGTACCCTTCGATACTTGTTCATGCATTCAAGAAACCCGTAGGAAACTGCGTTTCAGGATTCTCAAGCACTTTCGGGTTTTTTTCAAGCAGATCCAATACGATCATGCCCAGCGGCTAACTTTGGGTTAGGAGGAGTACAGTTCGCATACAGCTTGCATTCATGGCGAATGCGTGTTTCACTCATGGTACCTGCCAATGTATCTTCCGCTTACAGTCAGGCTCTGCATTTTTCCCTTGATGCTTCAAGATCAGCCAGCTGCTGTGAAGCTTACGGCTCACTAGAATACCAAGACCAACATGACGTCCTTAGGAGTACTGACGATGAACCCCAAAGGGTTCTGCTTTGTACCAACTACCCAAACTAGCTTATGGTGTGTCAGCTCACGCGTTCGAACAGTGCTGTATCAGCATCAAATCCTTGAGCTTACCTATATCCCAGAAGTTTGGCAAGACAGCCCATATCCCTACTCAAGAAAGCAAGTACCAATAGGTAAGTTGTCACACGCATCTCATGTATGGTCCTCCCAGGTACATCTGACTCCTTGGTCGTACATTCTAACGCGTTCCCCAGGGCTACTACAATGGTACAGATCTGCTCGACCAATGTATATGCGCCGAGGTTTGCACGGACACTCCGGGTACATCTGCATCTCTGATACATCGGCCAGCCACATCTTGCGAGCACATTTGTTCCCTTCCGTGCCGCAAAGATGAGCTGGGGCAGTAGTATTTGATTATGATTCCACCCGCAAAGCACGCGCTTGGTCGGTTTGCAGTCTTTCGTTCTAGTTCCTACCCTCAAACTATCGATAATTTGACTCTGGCAGTCAGACACCGGTAGCTATCTTTTCTCTGGTTTTACTATGGATTTAGCGCGTCAACCTCCACCAACATTCCTGGCCCAGAATCGAGGTCCAACTATCCAAGCGACGGCCTGTCTGTTGATCATTTTTTGCACCACGTTCGTTGCTTTGCGCTACTATTCTCGCCATCTCACAAGCACTGCTTTCAATTTTGAAGATGTTCTCATACCCTTTGCCTGGTTGGCTGAGGTAGGTTTGTGCATCGTCGGTATTGGTAGGTAACCCCTCAAAATCCCTATAGCACGCATTGACACACGTCGCAGTGATGGTAGAGAAAGCCAGCACAGGTAAGGGTTCCAATATGTTGACTGTATACGAGGCATAAGCTGATTTCGTATATCGATATTTCAGGTCGGCACGTGGCCTATATTCTTTCCACGGATCCGGCGAAGATACGTGAGCATTTCAAAGGTATTATGATACAAGAAGTCCTACATCCAGCAGCTGTTGCATTCCCGAAACTCGTAGTGGTACTGCTCTACTTACACATCCTCACCAACAAGTATGAGCGCATGGTAGCTAAGGCACTGGTTTTTCTTGTCTTCGCCACTTGGATCTCTTTCACGGTAGCTGTTATGTTCCAATGCATGCCTTTCGCTTTCAACTGGGACAAAAGCGATCCGAATGGACGATGCTTCAACGTTCAGGTCTTCGCAAACAGCTCAAGCGTACCTAATATTGTTACTGACCTAGCTGTTCTCATACTGCCCCTGAGAACAGTGTGGTGTTTGAAGATCAGTATTGGGAGAAGAATTGGGTTATTACTCATATTTCTTACTGGTAGCGTGTAAGTAGTCCTGCCATTTGTCACTTCGTATCTTCTACGATCTACGTAACTAACATTCGTGCAGCGGCATAATCGCCTCTATAGTCCGCACAGTGGTGTTCGCCCAAACCCTTGCAGAAGCTGGACCTCTTACAGATGTGACATGGAACCATGTCTCTCTCACGAACTGGACGATGATAGAACCTGGAATGTACCTTCTTAGCGCTTGTGCTCTCTCTTTTAAACCACTCCTCCGCTCGTTTGCCAAAGCCCTACACCTCCAAGGTTTCATTACGCACACAAAATCTACTGTTGGTGGAACAAAGAGTCATGTCAAGAAGACATTCACATCGACCCAGACGCAGTCTGAAGTTTTCGAGCTGGGACACATGAGGAACGTTTCCGAGTTTGGCAAATTCCACCGATTAAGCGACGACATAAAGAGTACCAGTACTGAAAGGAATGCTGGAAGAAAGATTGAAGTGACTGTAACGAAAACTATTGAATTGGAGTCGGAAAGGAGAGTCGACGATGAGCGTTGGAGTCACCATAGTTTTGCGAGCGACCAGTTTGGGAGGGCGGTGTGATTCATCAAACATGTGCTGTTCGAATAAGTAGTGCATCAATGAACACATGCACGCTTCCGTCTTCGATGTCAACTAAGAGGGAGGCACATGGCGTTGCATAGTTTCACGGTCGAGCTCTTCTTTCGCAAAGTGCAACATCGTCGTTGTAGTGCGGAACAAGACCGCTACTGAGACCCACCTCTCCATACCCGCCATGGTCAACAGGCCACCCTTAGGCCATCGGTGAGACGGCCTTTTGCTATACGACATGCGATGTAAACTAAGCATCTGTTCGGACTCCGTGCATACCGGCCCCAAAAGACGGAATCTTGGAAGGATCGATCGCGCGCGTACTTAGCGTGTCGCGCATCTGACATGAATTAACAACGTCGTCATGCATTTGTCTAGATGCCTCCACCTCCACCCAAAGTGACACCAGCCAACTGAACGCGCTCCATCACGACGTCATGTTGCTTATGGGGCGTCTCTCAACGAGCCACATGTGCTCGCGTCGGCGTAGATTATCCGCTGTTACTTGACCTTCTGATCTCACTGTTACGTCTACGTACATACACGAGCAGGTTATACTAAAGATGTCTTCTGCTTCTCGACTACTTGTACGCTCTGCAAGAATTGTCCTGCCTAGAACCCAATTTACGGCTCGCATCTCAACACCTGCCAAAATCACTACCCCTCGATATTTCTCGACAACACATATCTTCCAAATGCCGGACCAACTCAAGGCTAGCGAGGTCAACTCCAAGACCGATCCCTCGGTCGCGAAGCAGTATGACGACGAGACGCCCAAGGACCAGCAGATCAAACAATTCTTTGAAATGGTAGATGGCAAGAAGATTTGCATGCTCAACACATACCGCAATGGTGTCGGTACGTCGCTCTCCATCCGTTCACCCTAAAACCACATTCTTCCTCAATTGTCCAATGTGAATAAGAACTAATCAGCGCTTCAAGGCCCTGTTGGTCGTTCCATGGCTCTCGCCCGCCGCGACGGTCCCGACTTCCTGTTCCTCGCCAACGCACACTCGCAAAAGTTTAACGACCTGGACCAAAATAAGGAGGTCCAGATCTCCTTCCAAGACCTCAAGACTCAGGAATGGGCTTCTATCACCGGCACTGCCACAACAACAGACAACAGCGACCCTCGCATCAAGGAGGTATGGAGCCGCGGAGCTGCCGCATGGTTTGGTGATCTCGGCGACGGAAAGCACACTGGCGGGCCTGAGGATCCTCGCATGACGTTGATTGAGATAAAGAGCAAGTACGTATCGTACTATGTGACGGAAGTCGGCCTTTTGGGTTATGCAAAGGAGATTATTGCTGCGAACGTTACAGGTGGGGTCGCAAATACAGGCAAGCTTAGGGAGCTCAAGGAGGCGGATTTGGAAAAGGCACGGTCCATGTAAGTGCAAACAAGCACAATCAACGTAATGAGATTGTGTTGAGGTCGCAGTAGATCTCCATCGAAGCTGTAAATGCTTGCAAATTAATATAAACAATGATTTACTTTCCGAAGCAAGTAACATGAGACGATGTGTCTCGGATATCTTCAAAGGTCGTCAACAGTGTCGTGTGCAGCATTAGTATTTTCGCCTGTTATTGGATTGTGCAGACCTTGAATAACCTTTGACACGTGGATAATGTAGATATATCTGGTATGATGTATCGACCAGCTTCCAGAGCTGGATAGCTTTGATTGGATCATGCCCCGCTTTCGTCATGGCCACGACGTTTGTCAATGATGTGACGACAACCCATGTCTATGGCGTCGAAGGTCACGAATGTGGCGATCACAGCTATATAATCTTGAAGCAAGTCTAAGGTGCTTGGGAGTCTCAACTGTTCCGACGAATACTCTCAAGTTTAGAACAGTTCACAGACCAAATCAAGTCACTATCATGGGCAAGGATCATCCTGACGCAGACCTTCACCCCGAAGCAACGGGACTTGCGTCAGCCACAGTCAAAGTAAGTCTACTCACACCTCCTGCATGTTGTCTGTTGCTGACTTGACAAGGCTCACGCTGCAGAATGTCCGTTGAAATTATATTCAGGGTGGTTTTGCCCTTTCGTGCAGCGCGTCTGGATTGCACTAGAGGAGAAGGGCATACAATACCAGTACATTGAAGTCAATCCATACCACAAGCCAAAGTCGCTACTGGATCTCAACCCGCGCGGCTTAGTTCCCACGCTACAGTACCAAGACAAGCCACTCTATGAGAGTACGGTTTTGTGTGAATTCCTCGAAGAAGCTTACCCTCAACACACACCGCACCTCATGCCTACAGATGCGTATGAGAGGGCCAGAACAAGGATCTGGACGGACTATGTAGGTAGTCGCATCATACCTGCCTACCACCGCTTCCTACAACATCAAGGCGATGGCTTGGAAGAGAAGCAAAAGGATTTCCTCAATCACCTCAAGGAGTTCACGCGCGAGATGGATGCCGAGGGCCCATTCTTCTCGGGCAAGGACTTTCAGCTCATCGATATAGTCATTGCACCTTGGGCCAATCGACTATGGGTATTTGATCACTTCAAGGGTGGCTCAGGCATTCCTGATGAGGGCAAAGGTGGAGAGGACGAGGAGGTGTGGAAGCGATTCAGGAAGTGGCTGTCTGCTGTTGAGAACAGGAGGAGTGTCAAGGAGACGCTGAGCGAGAGGCAGCATTACTTGCCAATCTACCAGCGATATGCGGAGGACCGCGCACAGTCTGAGGCGGCAAAGGCTATCAGAGCTGGCCGGGGGATTCCGTAGGGCTACTGTATGCTATGGACGCGTGTCATGCCGAGTGACGTCAAGTTTAGGAAAGTCGTTCGGCCGTTTCTTAGGTGTTGTTGCCCGGGTGATGGTGTTGGTAAACGGGGCCCACCCGTGCGCCACAATGGGCTAAGCGTCAGTCCACCCCATTGATGCTAAACTCCCTTGAACGAGGATCCCTCACAATCTCGACCTCACCACCCGCCAACATGTACGGATACACGGCGGGCACACCCTGCCCGGCGCCCTATTCCTCCACCAGCAGCTACTACAGCGGCTATGGAAGCCACTACGCGCCCGCCTACTACGACGAGAACAACACGACGGCAAACCTCGAATACACGACGGAGCTGAAGCCCGCTCGCCACGCAAAGCCGCGACGACCAATGCGCAACACGCACAAGCCCGCCTTCAACCCGTCTCTCGACATCTTCGAGGATGTCGCACAGGAGGAGGCACAGCAACAAGCAGAGTTTGGCGTCAAGAGGAGGAGCCGCGCAAGCGTCGTTCCCGCGGCTGCCAGGACCAAGAAGAGCACCATACTTGCGCACCCAGCACAGAGGATACCCAAGCCTGTTGCGCCTGTCCAGGAGCCACACCACGAGAAGCCGCACCGAAGACGCGTCTCGCAGGTGCCCACCGAGAAACATGCCTCAGACGCCAATGCGACGGTGCAGTTGCAGGAACATGTCTTGGAGAGGAAAGAACTCAAGAAGCAGGCCCCTAACAAGGACTTGCGACGGAGGACCATTTACATCCCATCTGATGACACGTCAGTCTTCACCATCCACCCTGGACAGCCGACACATGCGCCGCGCAACGTTCGAGAGACTTCGCCAGACATCGGCCTAGATCTGGTCACACTATCCGAGGAAGAAGGAAACAATCTGATGCCAGCGTTGAAGAGGGACAAAAAGGCACCGCGCAAGTCTCTCGCTGCACCACCCAAGCGAGGTCCCTTGAGCACAACATCGCGATCGTCGCAGAGCTCATCCTTTTCGAGCGACATAGTGGGCTCAGGGGGCGGGAAAGAGAACATGCCACCGGGAATCGAGGCTGTCGAGAAGAAGAAGATCGGAACGCATATCGAGATAAACTTCACAAAGGCAGACGCGAAGAAACCCGTCGCCAAGGCCCCCAAGGTCCACTTCAGTGCTCCCAAAGAGCCCGAACGCACACTTCATACTAAGAAACGGCCAGAGGGCTCGCAGAAGCGACCACGATCACACGTGGCTCAAGACGACGTACCAGCAAAAGCGCTCAAGGCAAGAGCAGACGGCACTGCTTCCGCCGCAAGTAGCAGGGCATCTCTGAGGACGACCATCAAGACTGAACGAGCCAAACTGGCCAAGGCGAAGCGCGCGCCACTTTCCTCCTCGCCGTTCCACACCGACAAATCTCCGCCTACAGCACTGCGCCGCCAGAAGACTGGGAGCGTAGCAAGCAGCATCACCATGCTACACGAAGTAGGCCAGCGACCACAATCACAAGAGAAGTATCCAGTACTACAGGAGGATCTGGCACAGCCGGAGTTATACGAAGACAACTGGCTTACCTACCAGGAAGTCGCCATTACACAACTTCTGAACTCAGTCTTTGATTCCGCGAGCAGAGACCCGACCGACGAACAGAGCCCTGAGGACATGCGCAAGAAGATGCTTGCCATATACCACGATCCCGCGATACCGTCGCTTCACAAGCGACTACAGGCCTCACTACAATTTGGTGCGCTGAGCATACCGAAGGATCTCCTGGCTCAGACGCTCAGGCTCAAGGACGATGTTGGCTTGCGCAAGAAGTTCCTCAGCCTATGGACAAAGTCATACGATCTGAATGCACTGCGTGCTGCAGCTGAGACTATTGTCGGCCGCCAAATTACAACGCCCTGTCGACTATCCACAGGTTCAACGTGCTCAGATGATGGCTCCCGCCAGTATCGCGCAGAGCGCCGGGCTATCGAGAGCTTTCTGTCTGCCTTCCTGATAAAAAATGAGGATGCTGTTCGCGTCAAATCCGGAGGTGGCAGCATTGCTAGCCTTACACGCAGCGATGATGACTTTGGTTCTCAAGGCTGGTCATGGCGCCGTACTGCTTTACGAAGTCTGATGCTAATTCTGATCCTCGACCAAGCCAAGACGACGGATGCTCTATCAGGCTGCCTGTTCCAGACGACGTCACCCTACAAAACATCTGTCGAGGTCCTACATCAGTTATCAAAGATGCTCCTCCCTTCACACGGCGACATCACTCGACCGCTAAACCACCTCAATTATAAGGTCGAACATGTCCAGTATCCACTACAAGAGTACACCTACCAAATTGACAATATCGCCATTGACCTCCGTGATGGAATCGCACTTACTCGTCTTGTAGAGTTATTGCTTTACCCGTCAACCACCCACACAACGCAACAAGAGGATACCGTCACTCTCAGTTTGCCCACCGGCGAGCTTCTTAATAGCTCCCTCGATTCTTCACAGAAAGGAATTTGGGTTCTCTCCCAGCACCTCAAGTACCCAGCCATTGGCCGTCCCCAAAAGGTCTACAATGTCCAGATTGCCCTAGCTGCATTGAGTCATGTCACAGGCATGCCCAGCGCAGCAGTCAGTGGCATCAAAGCCGAAGATATTGTCGACGGACACCGCGAGAAGACACTCTCGCTTCTTTGGTCACTTGTCGGCAAGTGTGGTCTTGGAAGCCTTGTTGACTGGCCGCAGCTTGTCAAAGAGACAGAGCGTTTCCGAAACCAGTGGTACAGGGCCCGGGGTAGCTATGAGGGACAAGTCCTTGATTCCGACAATGAAGAAGACGGTGCCACTGAGCTGGATGGCATGGCATATCATAAGCGTCTTCTGCTTTCATGGTCACGCTCCGTTGTTCGGCTTCATGGCCTACGCGTTGCAAACCTGACCACAAGTTTTGCAGATCCAAAGGTTCTAGAGGCCATCGTTGATACCTACTTGCCGTCGAATCTGACCATTTCCACCGAAGGAAATGAGCGACTCGGATTAGCAACAAAACTCAAGGCTGTCGGCTGCTCAGCTTCATTCATTGCGCTTTTCACTCCACAACACAGCACAGCTCGTTCAATCCCAAGCAGAGACTTTACCCTCCTTACTCTATCTTTCCTGGCAAGTCGACTGTTGCCGCTTGCACGCACACACCGCGCAGCTTCTACTATTCAATCCACTTTCCGCCGTTTCTTAGTCCGCCGTCAGGTCAGCACTCGCATACAAGCAATGAAGATAGCGCACAACTGCGCAGTAGTGGCGCAAGCTCGGCAGAAGATGGTCGATGCTGCCATTGTGATTCAGAGACGTTGGAAGGCGATCCAAGATGCCCGCAACAAGCAACTTGAAAGTGACGTTTTGGCTTTCCAGGCCTTGGCCAGGGGTTGGGCAATCAGGCGATGGGTCCGACGTATCACCGCTGGTCGAGTCGGTGGAAAGGAGAAAGTCAGGAGGGTCAGGGGTGGATGGTAGTCGACCAACACGACGGACAATTAGTCGAAGTTGTAAGCACCATATGCGAATGGTCTATGGACTCAACGGCATGCGGAGAAGAAGTCGGAAAGTTGAAAACGAATGTTTAACGAAGGAGTTGGTTACGCTGTTGTTTTATGCTGGGCGTTTCTGTTATACCTACCTACCTGCAGGCGTTGCAGTATGCTTTCATCCTTCATCGCGATCGCTAGATACCACTTACTGATTTTCGTCTCGATTGAATTCTTACACCTTTTTGATTTAGCACTCTACCTCTACCTTGCCTCACAAATTCCATGGTGATCAAGTGAATGCTGCCACTTTGACTGAGATGTAAGTTTCTTGAGAGGTAGGCAAAGGCGGCAGATAAGAACGCACATTCCTTGTGTTGACTCCGCCACATCAAGGTATACAAGTATATTGTATCACGGAGAGCAACTGTTGCTCATGCGTAACTGTTCGAGATTGTGGATACGAAATTGCCGTATAGTGAAGCTACACAAACACTCGTTTTCTCTCTTGCTCCTTTATCAAATCATATCTTCATACCACGTACGCCTTCTCATGCATCTAGCTAATATCTCTTCACATTCGGAACTCAGACCTTGTTCTCGATGCTGCGCTCATCCCTCAACTTGACCAGCTTCTCTATCGCTTCATCAAGCGGCACAATAACACCACGCTGCTGTGTTTCCTGATCATCACGGTTCCTCCAGTTCACAGCTCGGGCTTCTTGTTCCTCAGCACCAACGACCATGATGAAGTTGTACAGGGCAAGTTGCGCTGTGCGGATCTTCTTTTGCATGGTGTTGCCGCTGATGTCGATATCGGCGTGGAGATGGCGTTTGCGGAGGGCAGCTTGGACTTCCTTGACATAATCGTTTGCACCCGGCATGACGGGAATAACCATGACTTGACGAGGAGAGAGCCAGAAAGGCCATCGACCGGCGAAGTGCTCTGTAAGGATACTACTTCTGTTAGCAAAGATACTTGGTTGTTACAAAGGAATAAAGCTTACGCAATGAATCGCTCGAAAGATCCATAGATAGCACGATGAATCATAACAGGACGGGCATAACCTGGTTGCGGTTCCTTGATCTTCTTGGGGATGGTAACATCGGCGCCTTCCAGCTTCTCCTTCTTCTGCTCGATGTGTTCGCCTTCCTGTGGTTGGTCCTTGGATTTTGTGGGAATAACTTCAGATGTCATGTACTCAAGCTCGAACTGGTTGGGCAGTTGGAAATCGAGTTGAATGGTGGCACACTGGAACTCTCGCTTCAAAGCGTCAGAGATGGTGATGTCGATCTTGGGTCCGTAGAAGGCACCGTCACCAGGGTTCAGCTCCCAAGCACCACCACCAGCAGCGGTAAAATCATTAAGAGCGTCAGTCAACTTAGCCTCTGCCTTGTTCCAGGTTTCAATATCACCAAGGAAACCCTCTGGACGTGTGCTCAACTTCAGCTTGAACGTGAAGCCGAATTTTCCATATACCGCCTTCAGAAAGTCGAAGAGTGCAAAAATCTCTTCTGTAATCTGATCTTGGGTACAGAATACGTGTGTGTCATCTTGCTGGAATCGGCGGACTCGTGTAAGACCAGTAAGCGCACCACTAGCCTCATTTCGATGTAGAATACCAAAGTCAGCCATACGGATGGGCAATTCCCTATAGCTTCGCTCACGATGCTTGAAGATGAGACAGTGTCCAGGGCAGTTCATAGGCTTCAGCGCCCACTTCTCCTTCTCGACATCAAAGGTGAACATGTCTTCCGCATAGTGCTGCCAGTGACCAGAGATCTTCCAGAGCGCCGAGTTGTACATGTTTGGTGATGCCACCTCCTGGTACCCACGATTCCAGTACTCCTCGCGCAGGAATGCTTGCAGTGTGTTGTAGATGATTTGACCGTGCGGGAGGAAGAAGCAAGAACCGGGGCTGAACTCGTGGAAGAAGAACAGCTCTTGCTCTTTTCCAATCTTGCGGTGGTCTCGCTTGGCGGCCTCCTCGAGGAACTTGAGATGGGCCTGCATCGCGTCCTTGTCTGGGAACGAGACACCGTAGATACGCTGTAAGCTGTCGTTCTTGGCATCACCCAAGAAGTATGAAGCAGAGTTCTTCATGACCTTGAATTGCTTTATCCGTCCGGTGTGTGGTACGTGTGGTCCTCGGCAAAGATCGATCAACGGTCCATTGCGGTATACGGTGGTGAAGGTACCGTCTGCGATTTTGTCCTTGATGATGTGCTGCTTGTATTTGTTCGACTTGAACATCTCGAGCCTGGAACGGTCAGAACAGATGCCTGCACATGGAACATGGAGCTTACAGGTCGTCTTTGGAGAGAGTCAAGCGCTGGAACGGCTGCTTCTCCTTGACAATGGAGTTGACAATGGTCTCGAGCGGCTTGTGATCGGCAGGGTCCACTGCAGCGTTTTCTGGAAGAGCCATCTGTTATGCGATTAGTTGACATCATCTATCGACAGGAGCGAACTGACCTCGTAGTAGAAACCGTCCTCAATTGGAGGGCCAATGCAAAGGTCGCAACCGAACCTGCGTTCCGATGCTTCTCCCAAGATATGTGCGCTTGAGTGCCAGAAGACCTTCTTGCCTTCCGGGTCGTCAAAGGGTAGGAGCTCAAGCTTGCAGCTCTTCTCCAAAGGCCGCTCGAGATCCCACAGTGTCTCATCTGGTGTGCCCTTGTCCAGACGTGCAACGACGGTGCGCTCGAACAGACTCTTTGCAATGTTTCGCGCAATGTCGGCAGGGCTGGTGACCCATGACTCTCCTTCGATGTTCTTGCCGTCCTCGAGTGTAATGGTAATCTTCTCTGTAAGGCGCCATGTGTCAGTACGGTGGGTGAGAGGACTGTGGTGGCGAGGTGGTGGACATACCGCGGGGCTTCTGGGCGATCTCCTCGTCGTATTTGGCCTTGAGCTTCTCGAAGATTTGGATGCGGTGGTCGATAAAGGCTGGCGCAGGGTCGAGCATCAATGGACGACCATCACCACCATCTCCCTTGGCCTTCTTCTCCTTCTTGGGTTTAGGGGCCTTGTTCTCCTTCTGTGCGACTTTCTGCTCGGCAGCTACGGACAGGTTCTTGACACCCTCAACAGCCGAGTTGACTGCGTCTTTGACTGCGTCAGCCATGTCGATGGTGTGGTGGAGTGTGAGGCGCGTTCGGCGGGGTTGTAGGAGTTGTGAGTCAGTCGGATGCGAGGTACGGTACCCCGGGAGCGTGGTAGAGGCTGGGTGACTCTATGGTGAAGATGGAGGCTGCACTGACTCTGACCCAGGGTGAAAAGCCACGTCTGGAAGCAAAGTAACGTCAGACTCGAAGCCAATGCCAAAAAGAAGAGCGCGCGCACGACAGCCCACTTAGCCTTTAGAGGCGCATTTGGTGGGGTTGCATGCGGCGGAAGGAGCCACCGGCGAAACGTGGCACCGATTGGTTGCGCTATCTGCAACTTCATTTTCAGTTCGAACTTTTCGCGAAGCTCTAGACCAAGCTCACCTTTCGCGCACCGATCCACTTTCACCACAACGAACAACATGGCATTTCGCGGTACTCCTCGTGGCGGACGTGGCGGCGGCTTCGGCGGACGTGGCGGATTTACTCCTCGTGGAGGTGTGTAGCGCGCTCCAAGCTATTATCGACTTTTCAGCTAATGCGCGACAGGACGCGGTGGCATGGGAGCCTCATTCGGACCCCCAGACACTGTCATCGGTACGTGTAGCGATCAAACTGCAAGCATTTCCGCTAATTCCCGTGCTAGAAATGGGCAAGTTCGTTCACGACTGCGAAAACGAGATGTTCTGCGAATCGATAAACACAAAGATCCCATACTTCAACGCGCCCATCTATCTCGAGAACAAGGTACGCAGATTGCGACAAGAAACAATGAGGATAATGGGCTGACCCAGCTATAGACGCCCGTTGGCAAAGTCGACGAAATCCTCGGCCCTTTGAACCAGGTCTACTTCACCATCAAGCCCCAAGAGGGCATACAAGCCAAGTCCTTCAAGGCCGGCGACAAGTTCTACATTGGAGGCGACAAGCTGCTGCCTCTTGACAGGTAAGCCAGCTTACATGGGCTTTGGGAGTCTTGCGCTGATCAAATTAGGTTCCTTCCCAAGCCCAAGCCCGTTGGTGGTGTCACTAAGCCTAAGAGGCCTGCTGGCGCCGGTCGCGGAGCACCCCGTGGAGGCTCTCGCGGTTTCGGAGGTCGCGGCCGTGGAGCACCCCGAGGACGTGGTGGACCCCCTGGACGTGGAGGCAGCTTCGGTGGCCGTGGAGGAAGCGGATTTGGCGGCCGCGGTGGCGGTGGTGGTGGTTTCTCAAGAGGTGGACGCGGTGGTGGACGTGGACGAGGAGGATACTAAGTGCCTCGGACTGGGACGGCAACCACCTCTTTCGGAACACGCTGGCAATGCGCAACCGTTTGCGCTGCCGTTTCGGCTCGATCCTACGACTACCTACCGATACCATGATCATTTGAGGCGTTTTGGAGTTGATGGGATCACTGTATCATGTCTAGACATGGCGCCTTGCTATGGACACTCTGTGAAGGGTGCGCGAGTTATATTTTCTAGTCAAACTACTCTGAAGTTCAACTTGCCCGATGCATCTGGGCGAATGAATCCTTCTCCAGAGTAGAGTTCTGCAATAGCGCCCGTGCTGAACAAGCTCGGAAGGTGATGCAAGTCGAACTCGTCAAGTCAACTATGATGGTTGCGGAAAGCAGATCAATCTTGATGATCCGTCTTGGAGTACATTCCTCAAGTGGTAGCTTTATTTGATACTGCAACTACAGCAAAGAGAGCTGAATCTATGTACACGCCTGCTGAATACTGATTTGCGTAGAGCAGCAGCGGGTCCGATGTCCAACCTCGGAAACATCAGCATCAATATGCACAGGCTGACTATTTGCAACGCATTAAAGATTACTCACAAACAATAATCCAGACGTCACAACTGTCAAATGCTTCAAGCATCCTAGATGGCCAACATTCCAAGTTTCCGGCAATGGCTGTTTTTGCCGCGCCCAATAGTCTCGTTCCCAGCCCCATCAAAGCTTGGGAGGCTGGCATGATGGTTCCTCGGACCACAACAACAGGGGCTTTCGCAATTTCAGCATCTTGTAATTGCGATTCCCATCATTCTGTTCTCCGCGTCTCTGCGAATATCGTCTCCGATTCTCCCACCCTTAAACACGGCATTCTGAGGGAAATTGTTAACTGTTGAAGCACCTCCGAGACCTCCGCATCCGCCCCGCAACACACTCACACGTTGCTGAGGTTACCCGTAACGTCATTTATCATCCGACGCACCTTACGACCACCCGGGCAAGAAGTTGACGCGCCTTTGCTATAAAAGCAAACGGGAACCGGGAGCGAAAAAGCATCGGCCTCTTGTGGTACAGGAGAAGGGAAACATTGCGACATTGCAGTAGCGCCAAGTCCCAAGCCCAATCTGCGGATAGGCGGCATCACAAATCAAGACCACAAGGCTCTGTACCTAGAAGCGCGAGCGATTTGGACCTGGAGAAGCCTCCCACCAGCCGACCATCACTGTCAGCCACATTGCGCATAACCACAGCAACTTCCTAGTGCAAGCTCGACCACAATCGCATACTCCAGCCCCATCTCAACGTAGCCGCCGAGGCGCGAAAGACCAACGCAATGGCGCGCGCAGGACATTCAGGCACAGTTGTAGGCTCAGCGATAGTAGTACGGGAGAAGTACTACTGGCCTGACCTACAGCTGAACCTCTGGACAATTGTCATGCTGGCAACAGCCGGAACAATATTGGGAATCAATGCGCAGTTCATGGCAATACAAGATCGCATGGGATTAGGAACACCTTGGTACGCCCAACCCGCAACTTCCGATATAGTCAAGATGTCAAGAAGGGAAAACATGTGTCGTAGAACAATTGTACTGACAAGCTCCTTAGGATCATGCCCTACGGTGTCACAGTCGGCACACTGGCTATAATCTTCATCATCATAGAAATCGTCTTCATTGCGCAACGGAAACTACTCCCAGCCACCATGATGCTACTATCCTTTATCCTCCTCGTCCTCTTCATAGCCGGAATTATCGGAACCGCAATACAACTCTTCGCAGGACCAAATATCAACAACCAATGCAACACATACGTCTTCAACGACGACGCAAGTGGACCGAATGTGGATACATTGGCGTTCCTACAGCAGAGGAACATCTGTGAGTGTTCTCCCGAGCTTATAAGCAGCGTTATAGCTTGCAATTGTGTAATACCATGTGGCTAACAAAGGATAGGTCAATGTTGGCAAGCTGAATTCGCTTTTTGGATTATCGGCAGCATATTCCTCGTTTGGATGATGGTCATGGCTAGCCAGGTCAACTCGAACCAATATGCTCGATGATCTGGCGGCTCGGATCTGCCAATCTACTTCACTTCTCAGGACTCTAGTCAGTCTACTTTTTGTCTTTGATATTAGTTTCTTTACTGCCTAAATTGATGGGCCATGTGTATATGATGGAGCACCATTGCGGGTGTTCTAGTAGTAGCGGCGGCGTTATACCACTTTTTTTTCTTTCTTTCTTCATTATGAGATACCGAAGGAATGCATGCAATGGATTGAAGGATGGAAGGAAGAAACGATATGTGATAGGAGCGACGGACTATTTAATCGTCGCAGCGGTATGATGTATAGAAGCAGAATAGCACCTCAAATAGTAACTACTCAAACTTGGAGACTTTGATCACATATTCAACGTGCCAACATGCCATGAGACTACCTAGGAACAAGGGTATATATATATATCACTACTTAGCCGCTGGGCACGTAACCCTTCTTTTCCACAAGGATTGGAACCTTTCGGGCACCGGGAGCATCCAACATGGAACCTCTGCTATATCAGTGACCGGTACCGCAACCTCACCTGCATTCCATATTCCCTGCGTCGGATTCCCAGCTCCACCATTTCCTCTCCCTCCCCGCGGAACCTGAGAGTACGTACTGCTATAAGCACCAAGCCTAGTTTTCTTACAGCTAGGGCAAACACGAACACGGATATGTACCACCGAAAGCAGGTTTGATAGAACCCCATTTTCAATGATGGGATTCCCGGGGCTTATTCTACCCGGAGATGGAGCCGCGGGTCACGCTGGACATCAGGCTAACACTACGGACAAGGAACAAAGAAGGAAATGGCCGGAAAAAGAAGATATGAAGATCTTCTGCCCTACAGCATTGTAAAAGTTGCGAAAGCGGTACTGCGTACGTTTCTTTTTGGCTTCAAATATTTTGTTGACAATGATGCTTCACCGCACCGTTCCGTCCCATCACCTAGCCGACGACGTCCAAACCAGAGTCCATGCCGTGATCCATGCACTAAACACCAGCCACCGCCCGACAACCACTAAATCGGCGATCATCCCGTCATTAACCCACACCAGCCATGCAGTTTCCAGCCTTTCTTACATCATCACGTTTCAATACCAGCTATACTTCCATATCAGGTCTTAATCGTTACCCTTGGCGACCAGGGGCGAGCCTTGCGTTTTCATCCCACTAGCCAATCACAGTATTTTAAAGGGGACACGAAGTTGGCACGAAACGCGTCGGCAACCCACAGAGCGCGTCGCTTTTATCATCGCTCATTGGTTGAGAGGATATCCGGAGGTTAGGAGGAGGTTTGTGGCTGGCTGCTCCTTGTAGAATGTTATGACTCTTATCTGGGCTTAAGTGGCTCGAGGGTGCTGGAATTGCTCCGTGTCATGTATGTAGGGCATATGCAGTTAATACCTTTATGGCGTGGTATCATGACGGCGCAGTGATCATGGTAACTTTGGTGGGCTAACGCTGATTAAAGTTGCCCAAGCGATGTCCAGTTTACGCCGTCCTTCCTCACCTCGTTGATCATGTTCGCATTTGTCGCGTATCGATAGGATGTATAGTATAGTAGCCGGACACGTGGTGTGCGTAAGGGTGTGGCGTCGCAGTGGTTTGTTGCCGCACGCAGCGCAACGCATGCTACACACATTAGCAGAACCGGAAAACAGGCGTATACGGCAATTATCATTCAGTGCGTTGTATTATTCGCCTATATGACCGCACCCCGCAATACAGGTGCATAGTGTGTGCCTGGCTAGTCCTTCGGTCCCAATCTACCGAAATCGCATAATGTAATGCTGCTGCACCATGCTGTGATGTGCTGATAACAAACAAATGAAACGGAAAATAGCTTAGAATACAGTTGCTAAAAGAAGTGTGCAAACGGGATATATGTCAATAGGTGGTACAAAGCGCTTGCGTTGCAGCCAGCTCGATTTTATCGCCGGGGAATACTTGGCGGATGCATGCGAAAGATAACGTAGAAGACGTGTGCAGTGATGCATGGGTTGTGTCGACAATGCCTTCCATAATCCAGAAAGAGGCCAAGCCTCCGTGAACGCCATGCTTAAAAGAATCCAGATGAGAATAAGAGAAGCCGCTCAATAGCAGCAATGCATGGAATGGCAGTTGTGCGATGCACTGAACGTGCTCAATGTCGCCAGAGTGTCGTTGCGTCGTGCCCAAACGCTTGCTGGGTGTTTGTATATGGTAGATGAGATGAACTTTACGAGATCAGTTCACCGCCGAGGTCCATGCCGAAGCTATCCACTTTTCCCATGTGGCCAGTCATGTGTGAAGCATCATCAGATGGAGCAATATTGTCGAAGTTGAGATGACGCCGTGCTTCGCGGACAGCAGCAGGTGTTCTGGTGGCGATAGGTGTGCGGTTCCACGACGATGCATTGACCTGCGCAGGGCTCGGGGACATGTTGAGGAACTCTGCAAAGTTGAGGTTCGTTGATGGTGTCGCAAGACCGAAGCCTGTATAATGAGAGCCACCACCACCGGGCGTGGACATCATCGACGAGGGAAGGGGTGTGGCTTTGGGCGGTGGAGTTGATGGAGCAAGCATTTGTGGCTTCTGGTGACCAGGTCGAACCGGTGTGGGTGATGTTGCGAGATACATCAAGAGGTTTGCGTCGTTGTCCCCATGTTTGCCTTCCCGAGCTGCGCCGGCAGCATTGAACCCCCGTTGTCGAAGACGTGCTGAACGTGCAACGTCTGGGGGCGGTGTGCGTGGGGTTTTGGGCGGTGATGACTGGAAGGATGGTTGGAAATGCGATCTGTTCAGGGAGAAAGATGTAATGGGTAGGTCTTCGTCGTCGTCTTCGGACAGTAGGGGTGAATGCGGATCGGGAACGGTCGAGGTTTCAGAGACAAAGGACAGGCTCGGAACATGCTGACGGCCAAAACGGGCATGTCTGCGATGGCATACAGGCGAGGACTCGGGCAAGTGGAAGTTGTTCTTCCACGAGGTGGCGGCACTGGTGGCAGTCCTTACTTTGACACGGGCGTGGTTGCTCGATGCTGGGTACTTTGTTCGGTCGTGACGAGGTCGCTTGTTGTGGATGTAGCTGCCGGTGCTGACGGACCGACTGACTGAACGGCGGACATCGTCTGAGAATATGGGCGCTTGGAGGGGGGATGAGTCGAGGATACTGGGCTGGTAGAAGCGCTCGGAGACGCTGGATACATCCGACATGGCTTCGTTGCTGGAGCCGGGGCGCTTGCGCTTGCGCTCGACACCGTCGAGGACAGGTTCAATGGCATCCAGGCTGAGACTCTCCCAGCCGTTCTTCATCTTGACGTTGGCCAGAGCGAGGCGGTTCTGCAGCGTCCGAGTCATCTGAAGAGCACAGTGTCAGCAAACAAGGGCGAGGGGTTGTACATAGGGAGATGGACCTTTGAGACTTGTGCCCTTCGCAGGACCTTGCTCGCAACTTCATCCTGTTCGGCCATGGTGTAGCAATTGCTGGAGGGGGCGTGTAGGGGGAGCCAGGCAGATGATGTGGCCCTGTGGACGTCTCACTAGAGTTGCTACAGACGAAACAGCATGTGGGCGGAGCTGAGGTGACGGTCGGCAAGGAATGTGAGGAGCTGGCGATGCAAGGGGACTAGCTTCAAAGTCTGCGGCAGCACAGGCCCCGTGCTTGTCAGGGCGTTGTGGGAGTGATGATGAAGTCAAGATGCTACGAGTCGCAAGCGGCACGAAAGCCCTAGTGACCCCATGGCGGGCTCCTATCCGGCGCTGGAGCCTTGTCCAAGTGCGCCTGCAACAAAGAAAACCTATGCTGCTGAGGGTTTGGCGAGCGGCAGGGGGGTGCGTTTGGTGGCTGTGGTAAAGTCGCTGACTAAGCCTCTTCAAGCGTAAGATATGGTATGCTATCGGTAACGTATCGACCTTTGGAATGTTTCAGGCGCGCCTTATCGCTGCAGGCCGTCGTCGGGGAACGGGCGCAAATCCGCGGATTCTGAAGCTACACCAGATGAATGCGCGCATGACGACGTGCAGAATCGGTAATGCCCTCGCAGCTCACGTGCATTACTCGTCCATGACTATTGCGTACAGCTCGCCGTGTCCTGCCATGGACGTTTCACGCCCACGATACAACTGACAGTGCATGGCATGGCATGCCATCCCAAAGCGGCTAAAAGCTTTGGCAACGTCATTTGTTGAGTCGCGAACCTCCTCACCATGCGCTCGTCTCGGTGCAACCCACCATTCTGTCCATCTTCCGCAGTTGCGAGTAACCAACGCCCAATTCTTGCCAATTGACCTTTTTGGAAGCCTCTAGCGCGACCACCAGAGCTGCTTGTTCGGTCCTGCTAGCTTGCGTCGCCAGAGGTAGCTCTTCACGTCGGCGTCCTTTCCACGTAGACATTGCTGCCACTTTCTCAAACACAAACTTTCTTTGCTCTCTCCCGCCATACTGCATATTCTGCCTTCACTCGCTTCTCGCATGCATAGTAGCATAGCTATTGCCAGTAAAGCCTCCCGTTCGCTTGTTCCCACTCTACAGTGACTATCACGCCCGTATTACGCGTCCCCCCAGCTCCCCATAGCTCCCCCATCGCGCCCTCCCTATCGCTCGTTACCGTCGCTCATTACCTACGCCTATGATTCCTTAATTCGTCAAGCTTTTCAGACTAGCCCGAGGACCTCGAGACGCTACTTCTGGCCTACATCAGCGCTGTAGTTGTTACGATGCCGTCTTTCCTCAGAAACCTTGGTAGGAAGAGCAGTCGCATGTCCAAGAGCGGCGACCGGCCAACAACCAGTGCAGAGGGTCAGAATGCCAATGGTCTAAACCACCGTGTTTCCGCCTCTACTCTAGACTCGTCCCAAGTCGGCTCGTCGACGCCTTCTACCACCCCAGCCACCTCTACCACAGACGAAATCAACACCCAAACCAAAGACCTTACCAATGGCCCCACGCCTGCGCCTGCGCGACCTCAGCGACCGACTGTCGACCCCGTAAAACGCTACAGCATCAATGGCTTAGCATCGCCAACCTCGAACGGCTCCAACAGCTCGTTCAATAGATCCTCGCTACTCGCGCCGCGCGTCTTGTCTGTCTCGGATAACTCATGGGTACACCAACAGGTACTGCTGATATTTGGTCAGGTTGGGGAGACACAGAGCAAACCGTTGGACGGCACACTCACGGTTAATCACCATCAGGGCCGCTTCCCATCTACTTGCTGGCCAGTACACGATTCCCACTTCAAGGCCTTGGTGCATCTTGAGCCTGGCTGGAACAGGATCCGACTTGACTTTGCCTCGCCCAAGGTCTCCACGCCAAACACCTCCGTACCTGCTCATGCCTCCTTCATCAACATAAACTACCTCCCTTTGTCGCATTCGCCGCCCCTACAACTTGCAATCATATTGGGTCATGACTCCCCAGGTACATATGACGCCCCACCTGAGCGTATCCAGCGAGAGGGAAACGATCTTGACCTTGCGACCAAGAAATTCCGCATGGCTGCATACCTTTGGCAGGCCTTCACTGGCGAGCAGATGAAGCGTTATGGATTCGGTCGACGCTGTTTCCGTTTCGAAGACGCCTGGGAGCCTGGAACGCTAAGTTATCAAGATTGGGAACAGAATCAATACCGCACGCAGGCAAAGATTCACGTCATCCGCTCCAGAAAATCTGTCGCAGAGATACGCGATCTGCAACGCGCCCAGCAGTACGGTCCAGGGACGAAGAAGAATGAACTTTTCGACATTGCCATAGAGGCATGCAGAGATTACTTTCCCATGGTACCAGGCCAAAAGCATTACGTCTCCTGCCTGTTTCTTGACACGCATTGGGACACGCAAGAGAAGACAGTTCGAGGACATGCGGCTTTAGGTGGAGGAACTGGAGATCTACAACTGGCCATATTCGGTTCCCATGCGCTTCACAGCTACCCATCGAGCATTGAAGAGGTTTTCCAGGCTTTCCAGGACTGCACCAAAACCGACACTGCATTCGTCGCGAATGACTGCAACGAATCTGGAAGCAACTGGGAAGCTGCTAACATAGGAATTGGTGCCCATCTCCACGAGACGGGGCATCTCTTCGGTTGTCCTCATCAGGAGTCGGGTGTCATGTTACGTGACTACGTTACGTTAAACCGCACCTTCACATGTCGAGAGCCCTACTCAACACGCACCAAGTCACCTGGTCAGCGGCTAGTCTTGCCAAACGATGAATGCAGATGGCACAAATTAGACGTACTACGTTTCCGGTTCCATCCTTGCTTCCGCATACCCATCGACAACCCAAATATCAACGGAGATGGCAGTGTGCAAGTGTGGACGGTTGACGTTGGCCAAGGTGGCGTCATCGCGACCTCGAAATCGGGTATCGCTTGGGCTGAGCTGTACACAGAAGGAGACGATGTCTGTCATTACTGGAAGGAGTTTCCTGAACAAGACAACCAGTACCCACGACAGGTTACACTGGAAGAAAGCACCCTGCGTTCCTTGCTACCGAAAGAAAAACAAAAGTCACGCCTCAAGCTCGAGGTGTACTCCGCTGGTGGAGGCAAGCACGTTGTTGAAGATTTCAGTCAGCTCTCAAACCAGAAGAATGCACGCATCAAGATACCGGACGGCCGATGGGGTTACCGTGGGGGCAAACTAGGTTACTCGCAAATGGAGGGTTCACAGCCGCAGGAAGTGATTTTCGATTACGTCCACATTCAGACCAAGCTTTTACTTAGCATCAAAGTGTACCATGGTTCCGCCATGGATGGATTGGAGTTTGTGTACGAAGATACGGACACCCAACTCTTCGGCAAGCGAGGAGGCAGTATGTCTGAGTTTGCACTAGATACGCGAAAAGGAGAGCTGTTGCTGGGCTTTTCTCTGCGTGCCGGACTATGGATCGACGGTCTACAGATATTGACAAGCCTGGGACGGAAGAGCGAGTGGTACGGAAACCCGAATGGCGGCAGCGGGTACGTATGGATCACACTCATAACGATTGCCAGCTAACCATATCCAGGCATACGCTTATCCCTCCCCGTGGCTACACCATCGGCGGTCTATCCGGTTCTTGCGCACAATGGCTCGACGGGTTTTCGCTGATTATCACGCGGTAATTGCGCTAGTGCAACTTTTCATATCTTGCTTGGTGTTCTGTTTGTGGCCATTATGTTGCCTACATCAGAACAGACAGTTCCGCCGTCGAGTAGCTACCACCAGACACTACATGCTGCGTCACTATTGTCCTGAATGAAGTCTCTGGACAAGCTGACTTGATTACTGGGAGCGGAGCATTCCCTTTGGCATGTTTGCACACCTCGAGCTGCTTTGGGCGAGCAAACTTGATTCGCAGATTTACAATCATGATACCACAGTCATTGAACTTGACTTTCTCTGTAACAGTAACAATTTCAATAGGGTTCTTGAAACAATGGGTTTGTCGTAATAGGATGATCATTCTGAAGGGCCTCGCACGTGTCTGTCTTCTGCGCTTTCTGCCATTGTTTCATTGATAATAGGGTATCATCGTATTCTGTACGCCCGCTAATCGATCACAGCATCGTTATGCAACCTGATCTTTCCTCCTCTCTCCCCCTCTCACCACGACCAAATTCGATTGCTCCCATTGTCCGAACGCAAAGACCCACATACACAACACACTGGGTCGCGTTCCTCTCCAACGCTATGGTCTAGGGCTTGGGAATCTTGACACTCTTGCTGACCATCAGACATCCGTGAAGTATGAACATGGCTACGACAGGGTGGAACTCAAATGCCGTGCCCTCGAGCCAAAGGCCCATGGGAACCTGTTCCAACGTCCAGCCCTTGTACACCCAGTACGCCATGACTTGGACGATGCCCAGAGACATGGGAATGGGGGTGCCCTCAAAGTACTTGCTCTTGCCTGTCGCATCCTTTGGCACCATAGCAACCGTGACATTGAATCTCGCCAAACGTGTAAGACCGCAGAGCACGAAAAAGCTCAGGAGTAGATGGTCGACTGGGGTTCGCAGACCGAGACAGAAGGCAGCGGCGGCGGGGCTAACGCCAAATGAGACGAGGTCGGCCAAGGAATCGAGTTCCTGGCCCATGAGCGATGCCTTCTTGCGCCAGCGAGCGACTTTGCCGTCCATAAAGTCGAAGAAGAGTCCGAGGGGGATGAAGCCGAGAGCGAAGTACAAGTTGGTATAGTTGAAGGGGTCCGACTGCGTGCAGTAGCGGAGAGAGGAAAAGATGGACATGACGCCGCAGAAGCCTGAAATTTATCGTCTCAGCGCATGCCTTGATTCTTCGGCTGAACAGCCGAGTGTTATGTTGGCCAGGAGAGGTCGGCGTCGGAAAACGTACCATTGAGCTCAGTAATGAAATCAGCCAGATGCAGGGCCCTCACGAGAGAGAAATGTCCAGCTTCCTGCGACAAGAGCCTCGCCTGTTTGTCCTGCGCTGTTGTTCCCGTTAGTCTTTCCTTGAGCCCATGCGACGATGCTATTTTGCGTCGACATACCCTCACCCTTTGCTGGCGGCATCCCGTCCTTGGGCTGCGGCTCTCCGCCGTTCCGTCGTTGCGACATATTGTGTTTGTGTGGTGTAGTAGGCGCTTCTGCTCGCTCAAACGAGGTTTAATTGCGCGAGGTGGGACTTGGGAAAAGAGGGAAGTGCGGGAAAGTTAAGGGTCTAGGTAGGGTTGTTGCATAGAGAAAGCTTGTTGTTGGTGTGAGCAGGCGGGCAGTGACGTGCCCTGCGCCATTAGATCCAGGCTTGGGAGACCAACGTCATTTTCGTCCTACGCAAACTTCCGCGTTGCTCTGCACAGCCCGCCTCAGCCCCGTGATCTGCCATGGGCGACAATTTCAATGTTGGCTATTTGGTATCGGCAGTCATGCCCGGCAATGTAGGCTTCGCTCGTCTATCAGGTTGAGCGAGTTGCGCGTATAGTCGAACTTGTTCGTAGCCTCGAAAAAGTGTCGTGTTTGTCGGCAGCACACGGTGCAGTTGCTTTAGGATATATACCGATGAAGTTGCAGCAGTTCAGATATTATGCATTACGAGTATGTCTATATAGCAACAAGATTTTACAAGAAGTATATAATGCATCAACACTGGTCATCATGGAATGCTCGAAGTCTAATACACCGCCCTCGTCGTGATGATGGCCAATGATGGGGACTCTACTTCCGCCTACTCACCATCTTGGTGATGGCATGCCTTATGATGGTGCCAGCCTTCTCTGTCTCCTTCTTTGTCAGGCCGCTGGTCACACATACTTTGAGTGCAGGCGTAGGTTGCCAGCCTGCGTCTCGGGGGTTTAGCCCAAGACCAAGAGGGAAAGACTTGAGTCGTGTTATGAGAACGCCGTTCGCGAGACACTGTCACTGTCAGCATGTTGTTCAAGATCAACCTTACATACACCATCAGGATACGTACCTCATCGACAACTTCCCTAAAGATCTGGTTTTGGTCTTCGATACTCAACTTCTTGTTATCAATGACTTCGTCTTTTAGAACAAGTAGCATGATCGGGTTGTCACCCGAACTACTACATCGGACCCAGTCGCTCCTGGGGTCCAACTGCCCCCTCATGGCTTTCACATTCTCCCTGAGTCCTGCCAAAATATCCGGTTGTTGTTGCAATAAGCTGATAGTCTCACTGGCGGTTGTACTCAGTAAAGCAGGGAGGGCAGCCGAGTAGGTATAAGACGCCGAGGAAATACGCTGGTGCTCAACGACTTCCTCATTGCCAGCGCAGAAACCTCCTGCCGCACAGAGAGGGCCAGATAGCGAACCGATAATCATATCTACTTCTGCAGCATCGACATTTTGGGCTTCGGTGACACCGCCGCCGGTGCGGCCAAGGACGCCGTAGGACCAGGTTTCGTCGAGGATGAGTCGGAATTTGTATTTGAGCTTGAGTTCGACCTTTTCGATATGTTAGCTAAGCCATCCAGGTGCCTCTGAAGCATGAGTATATGGTGGACGTACAATCTTGGGCAAGTTCACCACATCCCCAATGTTCTCAAATAGGCCCTCAGTAATGATGAAGCGTCTGGTGAGCGGCTTCTTGGCCTGCTCTTTGACAACCTTCTTGAGTACGTTTTCCAGATCCTCCATGTCATTGTGTTCAAACCACCTGACGGTACTGCGGCTGATTTGAATGCCCTTCCTTGCAGCAAAGTTGAGCGCGCGGTCTGCCACGATGATGTCGCCTCTCTTGCTGAAACTGGGAATAACGCTGCTTATAGTCGAGAAAGATTGTGCGTAAATGATGCAGGCAGGGACACCGAGATGTGCAGCGACATCGGCTTCGGTCTTCATGTGGACGTCCTGTGTACCATAGAAGCCGGGAGGGCCGCAGGGGCCAACGCCGTAAGTCCGCAGGGTCTGAATGGCCTTGTCTTTTAGGACATCGTTGGAAAGGAAGTTGTAGAAGTTGTATGAGGCAAGGTTCGTTACGGTGCGGCCGTTGGAGAGCTTCGACTTGGGACCGGTAGGGCTGCGCGGTACTTGGTTAGCATTGATCCGCGACCATAAGAGGCCATTGGGGCTGTAGGCTGTCATACCCAACAATGATGGGCCGCTTCTCGTTGTCTAACTCCTCGAGCGCAGTAGTCGGTGCAACAAGCGGTTCTGGGGTCCAGTCTTCGACCAGTTCATCAATCTCCTATTTGCTTGTCAGCCCGCCACATCCGCGCATCTGTATCCAAGGCGCGGAGCATACGGCATCGGTGAGCTGCACTTTCTTCTGGGTGCTGTATTTGGGTGCGAGCAAGTAGCGCACCGCAAAGAGGAACAAGAATAACTCTATTGCGCTGCGAACGGGGTCGTTCTGGTAACTCGACTTGATGTAGCGCACAGCGATAGCGGACCCTGGTATGCGATTGAATTGCGCATTGGCATCGGTGAAGAAGCGCGTAGTAACATTCTGTATTTCATTGAGATCCATGATGGCTAGTTGTCGCGTGGTTGTTGGTGTTGCGGCTGCGGCGAAAGGGCGGAGGTGAACCCTGGACAACTTCAACGCCTAATGGCTCATCTCGCAAGGACCTCCGTTTCGGCGTTTCACGAGTAGCTTGCTCAAAAGGGCAAGAATATCACTTCAGACCACACGTATCAAAGACAACATCAAAAGGCGCAGGAGAGTTGACTTTAAGACATCCATGTATTTATCTGCAATGCATTCACTTTCTAAGATATTCGCCTTCCCGTGATGAACCAAAACAACCCTTCGTAGTATATGTGCAGGCAAGTCCGTGCCTAAGGCGGACATCAGTGTTCAAAAAGAGAGAAAGCAGGTCAATAGCCTGCTGTGTAACGCCAAAGAAGGAAGGAAATGCTGCAGTGGATATTACAATCATTATGGGACCAACCCAGTCGCCGCGCTCATGATTCGCCAGTTTTGTACAATACAGGCTGCGAAGGCAGAACAAAACGATCCGCAACGTTTGCTTTTAGTATGCCATGTACCGACGGAATCGACGAGCGGCATCGTCGGTCGAAGCGGCGGCACCACCTCCAGTTGCGTCCACATTGTCGTTCCACACAGGGCAAGGACGTTCATCAACACACTTGCCAGTAGGAGTGTTGGTAGTGTCGTTGTTGCTGAAGCCAGTAGGCTGCAGGATCTCCAATGGCAATGTCACGGAGAGCTTGATGTACTTCCCGGCGACGATCGGACCCACGATCAAAGCCAGGAAGACAACGAGCAGGACAAAGTAGAGGATGGCGTAGCGCACGACACGACGCTTCCGAAGCTTGGTCTGCTTGAGCGAGTAGATAGGAGGACGGATCTGGCGACTGTTAAACGTTAGTAGTGGTTCATCAGACAGAGTGGGAGTGGAACATACCTGGGACGGAGCCAGAACAACATCATGGAGTGACCCTTGTCGGCATAAGGAATCAACAAGATCGGAAGCATGAAGAAGAGAAGGACGTGACCAAGGATAAAGTCTGCGGCGAAGAAGCCCAACTCGGTGATCTTGCAGAGGAACTCACGACCAGGTTGAGAGATAGTGTGCCATCCCATGGTGTACCACTTTCCTGTCCACCAGGCAATGTTGGCAGTGTCAGCCTTGAACTCTCGGGTGAGAGCAAGAGTGATGATAAGCTTGAACACGAATCGCTGGATAGCGACAACAGCGATCATACCAGACAAAGCTCTGGGGAAGCTGAAGCCCTCGAGGAACATGAGCACAACGAAGAAGATAAGGAGGACAAGGACAGCGATAGCGTGAGCAATGGCAGCCAATACAGCTCCGAACTTCTTGCAGCACATGCTGAGCAGGGGACCCGCACAACAAGCCAAAGCAAACATGCCTCCCAAGACACCTGCATTGATAGCGACAGGACCGAAGGCGATGAGTGCGATACGAACGAGGGAACCGGACTTCTCGGGGTTACCAGTGGCGGTGTCGTCTTCTTTGTGGCGGTTGTCGTTAACGCCAGTCTGAGCGTTGATGAACAAGAAGGGGATGAGAGTGATTGCGACCAAAACGAGAGGTCCAAGGATCTCACTCATGAAGATGTTGGTGAAGTGAGCACGAGGGACATCGCCTGAGAGTTTAGCTGATGGGTCGCCGAGAATCTTGCGCTTGAAACCAGTGATACGTGTGCGAGAAAGACGGCAGTAACCGATCCAGGAGGCACTGTGGGACCTAGTGTTGCCACGAGACAACCAGCGAAGGTACTCCCTGTAGTCGATGAAGAAGTCGTCCCATGAGAACTGATGAGGGTTGAAAAGGAACGGTGCCAGGCACAAAGACATCAGGGACGCCCAGAAGTAGATAAGCCATGGTCCCCAAACAGTAATGGTGGCGAACAGCAACATCATCAAGGAGCGGGCACCAATGTAGATCGAGGGACCAGCGAATCGCGAGAACAGGATACCGAAGGGAATGCGAGCAGTTGCGAAACCACGGCCGGTACCGATGTAACGAGCACCACCATATGACAAGTTGGTGTGGAGAGCGTTGGAGTAGATCTGGGTGACGAAAACTTCGAAGAAGGGCGATCCAGAGGAGAAGTGCTTAGCGAGACGAGTCGCGGCACGCCAGAATCCTCGCTCAGTCAACTCTTGAACCACGAGCGGCACGAAAGAGATGAAGAAGACGATGAAGATGGAGACGATACAACGCGAGACCCAATCGAACACGGGAACCAAGTTGGCACAGCCGTTGGGCCATTGAGGATCGGTGATGGGGATATCCTTGTTGAACTGGCAGAGAATGGTCTCGTGGTTGAGAGCTCCGAGATTGAGGAGGACGAACATGAAGCACTGGACCGACAACATAATGAACATGTTGTTGATGTGGAAACCAGGATGGGCGTAGTAGAAAGACAGGAAGCGGTCGAGAGGAAGTTGAGTACCCAGGTAGTAATACTCGCGAGACAACATCTGTTCTCCCATACCAGTACCAATCTTGGTGGTGAAGTTGAGTACGGAACCGAAACCCAAATCACGACCCTTACCACACTGGTAGTATTCGCAATGCTTTATGCGACCACCACGAAGGAGAGCGTTCATACCAGCGTAAATATCCTCGTTGAGATGAAGACCCTTTTGAGCCTTGGACACTCCACCACGGGTAGTCATGAAGATACCGTTGAGGAAATCAGGATGACCGTAATGGAGCTTGCCACCAATCTGAGCCAATGTACGAGCGAACATAGTACCGAATGTCTGTTCCTTTCCGGCAGCGATGTCGCCAAGAATACCAATGTTCTCAGAGAAAATGTATTCACGGGCTCCGAGAATGGCGACAGGATTGAACTTGGTGCTAGGAAGGCCTGGTGTGTAGGGGGACACGTTGTCAGTGGTCATCTCTTCGAACTCAGCGAGAACGCTGCGAATCTTGAGGCACTCCTCGAGGTAGTTGTCCTGGTTGGCGTCGATAAGCTGGATGTATTCTCCACGGTAGAAGATGATAGAGTGGTTCTGGTTGTCGGACTTTCCGTCACCGAGAATGGGGTTACCAGAAAGTTGAATGCGGAACTTGGGACGACGCATGCCGTTGTCCATGATCTCAGAGTGACCGTCGATAAGAGCAGAGTAGATGCGGGGCTCCTCGCCCTCGTTCTCCGGAGGCTCTTCGTCCAGGTAGGCAATTTGGAGGTCGGGGTACGCACGGAGAAGGAACTCAGTGTTCTCACGCTCCTCAGTGTTGAACTTGGCATAACGCTGCATAGACACGCAGATCTTGTACTTGCGCCTAGCCATGCGCTCGAGTTCACGCTCGAGCTTGTCAGAGTTGCCACCGAACATCTGGACGACCTCAGGGTTCTCGACACGGTAGAGAAGCTTGATGGCACGACTGTAGTTCATGAAACCAGAGATGGTACGGTAAAGTGTTTGCGAGCGGAGGGAAGCCCAGATACGAGTGCGAAGGGTGTACTCAGGAGCAGCCGACTTGAAACCAATGCAGTAGAAAGGAAGATCGTCAATCTTGCTCTTAGCGGTATCCTTCTCGCCCTTCTCGTCGTCACCATTGAATTGAGATGTCTCATCGGCGAGAATCTTGGTGTCCTTGACGAAGCAGTCCCACTCATGAGGATGCAGCTGTTTGAGGTACTCAAGGAGAGTGACACGGGAGTATGGCTCATCTTCGCGGATGATTTCACGGAGAGACAGAAGGATCTTTTCACCGTAGTGAGGAATCAAGACAGTGAATGTCGGCATATTGTCCACGGGGAGAGGCTCAGGGATGGGAGTTGACAAGGACTGAGCGAAGAAAGAGATACGACGCTCGGCCTCGCTCTGAGCAGGGAAAAACTCGGTCTTGAAAGAGTGATCTTCCTGGGACACAAAGAAGGTAGGAGCGCGGAGGGTGCGCTTGCCCTCCTGCTCAGAGGGAACCTGGTGATAGAGGAGCTTCTGAACGTGGTCGATCGCAAGGAGATGCTCACGGTACATAGAGATGACCACGGCATTCCAGATTTGCGAGATGAGAACCTTGGGCTTGTACTTGATCTCCATATCGGTAGTGGCAAGAACCTTTGAGTAGATACGCTTGGGCAAACGGGAGAAGATGTTCCTCCATGGCGTCCAGATGGAAACTCCGAGGTAGAACGATCGAGAGACCGAGAACAGCATGTTTGCAATGATGTACCAGAGGTAGGAATCCAAGAAGAACAAGATCAAGTCCATGAAGTACATGAGACCGAGCAGGATTCTGGGCTGGTACTTGCAAAGAATGTCGCCAATGATAGCATCTCCCAGACAGTCAGGCTTCTTCATGTGAGAAAGAATACGAATTGGGTCCTTGATCGACAAAGTCAAGAAGAAGTAGGACTCAGCGAGCTTGGCAGCAAAGACCAAGACCCACAGGCCGTATGACATCCACTTGTCGTTTCCATTGAGACGAGGATAGCTGGCGGTGAACGTCTGGCTGGCGACATACTTGCGAGAGTTGCGTGTCAAGTAGCTACCGAACAGACCGCCAATGGGCATGAGGGAGAAGAAGATGAAGGTGACCAAGGCGATGGCGAACTGAACACCACCAAGTACGTTGGCGATGGTACCAGTGCGTTTGTCCATACCAAAGATGTAGACACTTGGAGCAACGTTGACGACGAAAACCGCAATGAGGAACAAGAGGCGCTTGGTCAAGTGTTGAGCACCAGCCCATCGGCGAGGGACGTAGCACCATTCGCAGATGGTGGCGAAGATCTGGATGAAGGCCGCAATGGTACCACCGAGAGCGACAGCAGAAAGAGTAGCAGCCTTTTCGGGCTTCTGGTCTAGCTGTTGCTGGTAATTCTTGGTGTAAAGAGGCTGCGAGTTGTATGCCGTGTAGAACCAGAAAGAAGTCAAGTGAATGACCCAAATACGGTTGAAGTTGATCACCATGTGGAACCATGAACGACGCTCGTAGTAAGTCTTGAAGAAGACCTTCTTCCACAAGACATCCTTCAGCTTGAGGTAACGCTCAGCGGGAGGGATGTCGACGA